ATATTTATTTATTTATTTTTCATTTACCATTTATTGTGGTGTTTGGGATGTCTCCCAGGACTATGTCTTTGCTAGACAAGTGCTCTGTCACTGAGACATCCCCAGCCACATTTTCTTTTGTATTATATCCATTGTATTGGGTATGAGATGCTATCTCATTGTGGTTTTGATTTCTGTTTTCCTGATTACTAGAGATGTTAAGCATCAAAAACTTCTAAACTTGTACAGACTTTCTCCTTTGGACTATATTATTTAATTTTTGATGTATTAAAATATAAGAATTTAGCCAGATGTGGTGGTGCATGCTTGTCATTCCAGGTACTGCAGAGGCTGAGGCAAGGACTAATTTGAGACTGGCCTCAGTAAGTTGGTAAGACACTGTCTTAAAAGGGTTGGTGATATGTAACTCGTTAGGTTTTCCTAGGTTCAATCCCTAGTTTTTTATTTAAGTGAATTGATGGGGGCTAGAGTTGTGGCTCAGCCGTGCAGTGCTTGCCTCGCACGTGTAAGGCGCTGGGTTCATTCCTCAGCACCACATAAAAATAAATAAAATAAAGGTATAAAAAAAGTGAATTTATGTATGACTTATTTGAATATCATGAGTGGCAAAATAATGTAACAGTAATATCAGAATCTGGGAGGAGGAGCAAGTGAAGAATTTTTTTAGTTAGTAGACTTTCAAATTGCATTAATAAACAGCCTAGATAAGTCTGTTTTTTTTTTTTTTTTTTTTTTTTTTGTGGTGGTACTGGGAATTGAATCTAGGGGTGCTCTGTAATGAGCTGTTTCCCCTGCCCTTTTATTTAATTTAGAGATAAAAATAATAATATAATGCAGTCACAAAGCAGGAGTCAAAATATTGGTGTCTATAAAAGAGAACTTTAAAGGTAAATCATAAAGAGCGAAGAATATAAGTCATCTTTATTTAGCTTTGCATAGTTGTAGTACGTATGAATTTTATTTACTGTGGCTTAGTTAAGTAATACCTGTCCCTAAACACCATGGTATAAACTACAAAATTTGCTACTAGCTTTTCAACCCACAAATTAAGATGTAAATCACAGATGTGTACCGTGTCACTTTCCTAGTTTCTTGGTGATTGGTCCTTGTGTATTTGTTTCTCAAAACATATACAGACTGCAAGTATGTAGTTGGCCATTGTTTCCAACAATAGACCCAAGTGACTTTTACCAAAATAAAGAAACAAGAGAATTGGCCAGCAAAGATGAAGTACAGTAAAGAAACAATAATAATGCTGGAAGTTAATTTGAATTGAATAGGTAGAGTTATAGAATAAGTAGCTAACCTTATGAATGTTGATGTGCACATTTGGAGAGACATTAAATGTCCAATCCCAGGAACTTGAGAGAAGTAATGAAAACAAGTTTATCAACCTAAATGAGGAAAGTGGTTAGAAAGTATGAAGATGTCCTAGAGGATGTGGCACCAACAAAAACATTAAAGATAAGTCACAGTGTTGAAGAGTAAAATGTTGGAAGATGATCTAAACTTAACAAAGGAGTATGAGTATAGAAAATATGCTTATTCCATAGAAGTTATCAAAAGAAGCACTGTTCAAATTACTCTTGATTTTTTTTTAAACAACAACAAAAAATGGCACTCTTTAATCTCAGTGTTCCTAATATTTTCAGTTACAATGTACAAAATAATATTGGGCTTACTATTTCATTTCTTTACATGTTTCTAACTGTCAGTAATAGTATTTAGTGTCATGATAATTTTTAAAGATCATGGAACAATTATAATTTTTCCCATTGATTATCTAGAGTGCTTATTTTTTGACCTCTCACTGTCATATAAAGTAGATGGCCTGTTTTTAATTCTTGCCACTTGGGAGGCCAGAGGCTGACGCAGGATTGCATGTTCAAGGCCAGCCTGGGCAGCTTAGTGAGACCTGTCTTGAAATAAAATTAAAAAGGGCTGGGATGTAGCTGAGTGGTAGAACAATTACCTAGTATGTGCAAGGCCCTGGGTTTAATACCTAGTACCTGCTGCTTTTGAGATGAAGGTGGATAATGGCATGTAAAAAATATTTATTTTAAACCCTTATACACATGAATATCATTGTGGTAGATCAGTCTTCTTTTTTCAGTGGCTTTTAGATTTAGAGTCTTACCTAAAAACACTCATGTTTGAGAATTTTAAACTTTTTTTTTTTTTTTTTTTTTTGTGTGTGTGTGTGTGTGTGGCTGAGGATTGAGCCTAGGGCCTTGTGCATACGAGGGAAGCACTCTACCAACTGAGCTATATTCCCAGCCCTGTAATAAGTATTTTTCAAGATTCCCTTTACTTCTTGTAGTTCCTCATGCCAGCAGTTTTTATGTTGATGTGGAACTATAAATGAGGATATTGTTGGACCTTTTTATCTACATTGTTGGCTAAGATCCAGTTTTTCTCTTTCAGCTTCCAAAGTTTTTATCTCATATGATCTTATGAGTCTATACCTTTAAATTACTTCCTTTACCATTGTCTTTTGAAGTTTCAAGAGGGAAAATTTGTTGAACTAGCTTGTTTCAACTGGAAATAAATTTTTGTGGCAGTTCAACTAACTTACTTTGAATTTAAAATTGATTATGTAGCAGGTGTGTTGCACAGTAAAGCTTTTATGTGCCCTAATTATATTTAGAGTTCTAAGTTTCTTTATCTTTTTAAATTACCTTTATTTTGTTTATTTAGTTTGTTTCTATGTGGTGCAGAGGATTGAGCCCAGTGCCTCATGCATGCTAGGCAGGTGCTCTACACACTGAGCCACAGCCACAGCCCTCTAAGTCTCTTTTTAATGGAAATTTTAATTTAAAATCTTACAAAGTATTCCTGTAAGTATTCATTAGGTCTTTTATTCTTACAGGATTTCAGCAGATAGAAAATTTGTGATATATATATCTAATTACAATAATTTTAAGTTTTAGTACATTTTAGAGGAAATTAGAGTCAATTTCATTGTCCTGTTTTGGAAAGCACATATATAAAACTTGGTGCAGTGGGTGCATGCCTATAATTCCAGCAACTTGAAGGCTGAGGCAGGAGGATCACAGGTTAAAAAAAAGGACAGCTTGGTCAACTCAGCAATATCCTATTTCAAAATAAAAAGGGCTGTGGGTGTAGTTCAACAGTAGAGAGCTTGCCTAGCAATGCATGAAGCCCTGGATTCAATTCCTAGCATTGCAGAAAAAACAAAAAGCCCAAGTACAGGTATGTGTCCATTGTAGTGAAAATAACTCATACATAATGTCTACCTTCATAGAAGTGACAGGCTTTTTTTTTTTTTTTTTTGGTACTGGGATTTTAATCTGGGTACTAGTTCTCCTGGCTCAGCCCCCCAAGTAGTTGGATTATAGGCATGGATCACTGTGCCTGGCTTAGAATTGACACTTTCTAAAGAATTTATATAGGAAAGGGACACATAAGGGGTCTGTCTTGGAGAAGGTATCTGAATACACAAAACCAATTGGTGCTTGTTATCTATGGATTATGCATTTGTGAATTTGTCTACTCATTAGAATTTATTTGTAGTCCCAAATTATTTATTTTAATAAGTATTATTTTTACAGTCTACATAGCACCATAAGCTTTTGCATTTCTGTGCTGTGTGTGTGTGTGTGTGTGTGTGTGTGTGTGTGTGTTTTAACTAGTCCTGAAACATAGTGCTAAAATTCTTCTTAGTGTTCTTAAGTTCTTAAGGTTATGATTTACCTTATGGAGAAAACACATTTTCTATAAGTTGTTGGCTGTGAATTCAGTGTTAGTGAACCAGCAGTATATTTTGTAAAGTATTTTTAAACTGGTTATGTATGGACAGGATTATGAAAATGTTGTGACTGTAGGAGTCACACCTTGTATATCCTATAGGAGCATTATTAGTTCATTAGAATTCAGTGTTCACAAATTAGGTGCTGTACCAAATTTTGTTGAAATGAAATTATATTTGGAATGCAGTTAAAGGTTTGATGAATGGTGTTGTGTCTTTTTGTGTGTGTGCTTGTGTTTTTCTTTCATTTTTTTTGTACTGGAAATGAACCAAGAGGTCCTTAACCACTGAGCCACATCCTTAGCCCTGTTTGTTTATAATTTTGAGATGGTGTCTTGCTAAATTGCTTTAGGGCCTCACTGAATTTCTGAGATAGCCTTTGAACTTTTGATCCTCCTGCCTCAGCCTTCCAAGTTGCTGGGATTCCAGGCATGTGCCACAATGCCCAGCGTGGGTTTGTGTTTTTCTCTTATAAAAAATAACAGAATTTACTGTTTTAACCATTTTTCTATTAACACAATTGTACATGTTTATGGGATAAAGTGTGAAAGTTGGAGTTATAAATATTTGAGATATATGTGAATATCTCAATGTCTGTATATACATGTGTGAATATATGCATATATATGTAGTGAGTTAAATTGGTACATAGCATATTCATCACCTATCTCCTCAGATGTTCAGTATTTCTTTGATGAGACAGTTTGAAATCTCTTCTAGTTATTTTGAAATATCAATTAGTGTTATGTTCTAACCATTTTTAAGTGTATAGTTCAGTGGTGGTAAGTGCATTTGCATTTTTGCACAACTTCTGTGGTCTCTCTTTTTTTTCCTCTTGGGATTATGGATCTAGGAGGTTTTTATTGAATTTAAGTACTTGGGGGCTGGGAGTATAGCCCAGTGGTAGAGCATTTACCTAGAATCAGTGTGGCCCCTGGGTTCATTCCTCTACATTACAAAAAAATAAAAAAGCCTTTATAATTATATCAGGGACCATTTAATTGTTCTGTAAGCAAAAAGAACCTAAAGAACTTTAAATTGTAATAACACTTCATCAGAGCCTTCTCATACCTTGGTGATATTGTCCTAAATTAATAAAATGAAATCATTAAGATTTAAAATGATCATTGTTTGTTTTAATTAACACATTTAAAGTACATCATAGGATAGTGCTATTTAATAATATTTAATTGAGATTGCTATGCATTCATATTCTCCCCTTTTGTTTCAGTGCTTTTTTAGGACCAAAGGATATATTTCCCTACTCAGAAAATAAGGAGAAATATGGCAAACCAAATAAACGAAAAGGTTTTAATGAAGGTTTATGGGAAATAGATAACAATCCAAAAGTGAAATTTTCAAGTCAACAGGTGAGTCATATTACATAAAATTTAGTATTTATTCAATCTTGGGAAATAACCACAGTCTTGCCTGTGGGAAAATAAATACTAATTTATTTTTTTTTTTTTTTTTTTTTTTTTTTTTTTTTTAAATATTTATTTATTTTTTTAGTTATCGGCAGACACAACATCTTTGTTGGTATGTGGTGCTGAGGATCGAACCCCGGGCCGCACGCATGCCAGACGAGCGCGCTACCACTTGAGCCACATCCCCAGCCCCATAAATACTAATTTAAAAGCCTTGTGGATTTTAGGTTAAATTGTTCTTATTTATGAGGCTGAATCTTGATTTTTAATGTGTAATGAATTTTTGAAATTTTTAGTTGCATGGCTAAAGAGATCTCAGAAACTGAGAAATCATCAGTTAACTCCTGATTGAGAGTTTATTTAATACGTTGTTGAAATTAATGCCATTTGTGCCTTTTTTTTTTGCCTATTTCATCAATTGCTAAAGAATGAGTGTTCTTATCTCCGTACCATGATTGATTTGTTCATTTTTCATTTTAATTCTGTCAGGTTTTCTTGTGTATATTTTGAGGTTATTTAACTAGGTGCACACTAACTACACCATTTGTACTCTTAAATTTGGGTTTTAAATTTAGTGTGTGCTTGAATTTTCTTATTTTCTTTAATTTTTAAATCCACAGAATTATATCAGAATATTAACCTCCGTGGGTTAAATGTGTGACTTAGAGCAAAATGCAAATTATTGATGTCTAGAAGAGCAGCCTTATGCCTCCTTTTCTATATTATTGTCCAGAGCTAATTTATCTATGACATAAATTTTTATTTATTTATTCATTTGTTTATTTTTTTGAGAGAGAGAGAGAATTTTTTTTTTTAATTTTTTATTGTTGGCTGTTCAAAACATTACATAGTTCTTTTTTTTAATTTTTTATTGTTGGTTGTTCAAAACATTACAAATTTCTTGACATATCATATTCCACACTTTGATTCAAGTGGGTTATGAACTCCCACCTTCACCCCATACACAGATTGCAGAATCACATCAGTTACACATCCATTGATTTACATATTGCCATACTAGTGTCTGTTGTGCTCCGCTGCCTTTCCCATCCTCCACCCTCCCCCCTCCCTACCTCTCCCCTCCCCTCCCCTCCTCTCTCTCTACCCCCTCCACTGTATAACCCTGAGGGTCTCCTTCCATCACCATGCAATTTCCCTTCTCTCTCCCTTTCCCTCCCACCTCTCATCCCTGTTAAATGTTAATCTTCTTCTCATGCTCTTCGACCCTACTCTGTTCTTAGTTACTCTCCTCATATCAAAGAAGACATTTGGCATTTGTTTTTTAGGGATTGGCTAGCTTCACTTAGCATAATCTGCTCTAATGCCATCCATTTCCCTGCAAATTCTATGATTTTGTCATTTTTTAATGTAGAGTAATACTCCATTGTGTATAAATGCCACATTTTTTTAATCCATTCGTCTATTGAAGGGCATCTAGGTTGGTTCCACAGTCTTGCTATTGTGAATTGTGCTGCTATGAACATCGATGTAGCAGTGTCCCTGTAGCATGCTCTTTTTAGGTCTTTAGGGAATAGACCGAGAAGGGGAATAGCTGGGTCAAATGGTGGCTCCATTCCCAGCTTTCCAAGAAATCTCCATACTGCTTTCCAAATTGGCTGCACCAATTTGCAGTCCCACCAGGAATGTACAAGTGTACCCTTTTCCCCACATCCTCGCCAGCACTTGTTGTTGTTTGACTTCATAATGGCTGCCAATCTTACTGGAGTGAGATGGTATCTTAGGGTGGTTTTGATTTGCATTTCTCTGACTGCTAGAGATGGTAAGCATTTTTTCATGTACTTGTTGATTGATTGTATGTCCTCCTCTGAAAAGTGTCTGTTCAGGTCTTTGGCCCATTTGTTGATTGGGTTATTTGTTATCTTATTGTCTAATTTTTTGAGTTCTTTGTATACTCTGGATATTAGGGCTCTATCTGAAGTGTGAGGAGTAAAGATTTGTTCCCAGGATGTAGGCTCCCTATTTACCTCTCTTGTTTCTTTTGCTGAGAAAAAACTTTTTAGTTTGAGTAAGTCCCATTTATTGATGGTGAGCATTTTTTCATGTACTTGTTGATTGATTGTATGTCCTCCGAGAGAGAGAATTTTTAATATTTATTTATTTTTAGTTTTCGGCAGACACAACATCTTTGTTTGTATGTGGTGCTGAAGATTGAACCCAAGCCGCACGCATGCCAGGCGAACGCACTACTGCTTGAGCCACATCCCCAGCCCCATAAATTTTCATTTTTTATTTTAAGCCCTTTTCATTTTTTATTTTAAGACAGGTCTAGCTAAATTGCTTAGTACCTCATTAAGTTGCTGAGGGTAACCTTGAACTTGCAATTCTCCTGCCTTAACCTCCCAAATTGCTGGGATTACAGGTGTGCACCCCTGTGCTCAGCACAAACCAGGACTAGAGAGCTGTCAGGAGATCTTGTGAAAACATTGAGGGTGATTCTTTATTCTAGTTCCTTTTTATTAAGGCCTAAAGTACCAAAAAGTGGGAGGAACATGAATAAACTTTTTTTTTTTTTTTTAACTTTGAGAACTTGCCATGTGTTCTGTTTGGGGTATCTAAATCATTGATGTTCCAAGGCTGCATTAGATGTTCTTTTGTGCCTTCATTACCACCTAGTACTTATTTGTCATGGTACTCATCATAGCATATCATAATTGCTTCTATAGTTGTTTGTAACTGCCACAGATTATTTTACTAGGTCTATGAATAAAGGAATCGTGTCATATGCATCAGCACTGTTATTGTGTGGGAAGAATAGATAATTCACTAAATGTTTGTTGAATGGTTATATAATCATCCATCCCATCATAATTACATTGACTGTGTAATGGGAGTACACTTGTCCAAACAGACAAAATTGATTGTCTTGTGGAAATTTTTTATATCTTATTTGATTTATTTGTTTTTATGTGGTGCTGAGGATCGAACCCAGTTCCTCACACATGCAAGGCAAGTGCTCTACCACTGAGCCACAACCCAGCCCTTTATGAAATGTTTTGTAATTTCTCTTAGATAATCTCTCTTGTGATTGCACCTTTCTCGTCTTTTTTATCCTCCATGTGTCCACCTAGTTTATTCTATCCTTTGTTTCTATCTACTCAGTCTGTAGGTAATTTTCATCAGATAGATTTGTAATTTTCTATTTTGCATTGAGACTTTTGGGAAGGTTATATGAATGAAATCAAATAACATTTTGTCTACTGAAAGGATTGCTGCTGATTTGATGCATTCTGATTCCTAGGCCTAGACACATCCCTCGTGGCACAGGGCTTATGGAAAACTGATGTCCAGATATATAAAATTGACCATTTTGAATTTTAAAATTTTCTATAATGTTATGAATAGTTTTCAGAAAAATTTTACATCATTTTGTTAATAACTATGCTGGGGTTAGAGGTGCATACCCCACAAATCCTATTGATTTGGGAAGCTGAGACAGGAGGATTGCAAGTTCAAGGCCAGCTTTAGCAACGTAATAAGACTCAACAACTTTGTGACACTCTGTTTAAAAATAAAAAAATAAAAAGGACTGGGGATGTGGCTCAGTGGTTAAGTATCCCTGGATTCAGTCCTCAGTACCTAAAACAACATCAACAACAAGTAATTTTGTATGTTATCAGAAAGTTTTTAATTTTTAAATATTTATTTTTGTTACTAGGGATTGAATTCAGAGCCACTTAACCACTGAGCACATCCCTAACCCTTTTTTTATATTTTAGTTTGAGATAGGGTCTCGCCAAGTTGCTGAGGCTGGTTTTGAACTCGTGATCCTCCTGCCTCAGCCTCCCAAGAAGCTGAGATTACATGCGTGCACCACCATGCCTGGCATGCCCCCCGCCCCCCCCCCCCTTTTTTTAAAACAAAAAGAACTATCATTCAAAAAGTTGTAGATTTGGGGTTTTCTTTAGGAATGATTTTAAAATTAAGTATCCTATGAAACACAAATCAGTAACTTTTCCTTATTGCAAACAGTCTTGATTTTTTTTTGTGAACAGAAAAAATTTTTAGGTTAAAATTTGTTTTGTGAAGTTAATAGTGTTATTTTGCATAGGCATCAACTAAACAATCAAATACATCATCTGATGTTGAAATTGAAGAAAAAGAAACTAGTGTTTCAAAGGAAGATACTGATCATGAAGAAAAAGCCAGCAATGAGGTATGTTTTCATTTTTCTTACACTCTTAAACCCCATTTTTTTATACCTTTATTTTTATTTATTTATTTTTATGTGGTACTAAGGATCAAACCCAGTGCCTCCCACATGCTAGGCAAGCACTCTACTGCTGAGCCACAACCCCAGCCCCTCTTAAACCCCATTTTTGTAGCAAGAAAGAAATTGTAAAACAAGTTGACCTGGCAAAGTAGGAAGCAATCTTTAAAGTAATGAATGAGAACATTTTAAGGCTTATTTCCTATAGTAAGTATTTTTTTAAGAGTGTTTGTTGTCTTTAAGATGCACGGATGTTTTTATTTGAAGCTATTTTCATGTACAAAACACAAGTGCAAAACTATAAAGTAGATTAGTGTTTGTTAGGAAAATTTTTATTTTTTCTTTTTTTACTTATTTTTTTAGTTGTTGATAGGACTTTATTTTTGTTTATTTCTATGTGGTACTGAGAATAGAATCCAGTGCCTCACACATGCTAGGCAAATACTCCACCACTGAGCTACAGCCCCAACCCCCAGGAATATTTTTCTAAAGCAGAGGATTGTGGGATGGAGGGGTGTACGGAAAAAACATTAAGCTGAATTCTTTAAAACTTACGTTGATTTACACTTCTGTGATTGGGAATACTCATTTAGCCCTTCTAGACTTCATGAAATGATTGTTAGATGACCTCCAAAGTTTAAGCCACTTTAAAATTCATAGCCCTAATATCCAGAATTCTATAGAAAAAGTGGCTTTATAATTTAAATAGACAAACTTCTGGTGTACCAGCAGGACTTTTAATGTTTATAATATCAAAGGTCAGAAAAGTAAAACAAACTTCTTTAGTTCTTTTGCTGAAACGTGTTTGGGGCTTAAGTTTAAGAAAGTTTCTTTTAGCCTTGTCCTGATTTATTCAGTTTTATTTGCTTTTGTGTTTTTAAGGATGTGACTAAAGCAATTGATATAACCACTCCAAAAGCTGCCAGAAGGGGGAGAAAGAGAAAGGTAATTTCACTGACTAATCATAAGTATCTTTAAAATTTTTTATTTTAGTTGGATTGAGAAAGAGTAGAAATAATGAAACTGCCTTTAAAACTTGACCTTTTACTCTGAACCTTTAATTTTTTAAAGGGTAGGTTATGTTAGCAAAACTGATTTTTTTTTCTTGGTGATATAACTATGGTATCCTTAAGGTGTATTGAAAAAGAAAAAAATGCAACAGTTTTTATGACTCTACTTTTGTTTTCTCTGTAAAATGAATATTTTCTTGTAGTATTGTTGGTAAAAGGATTAAATGATTTAATGCATGAAAAATGTTTATGATAAATCTTGGTCCCTAAATACTTGTATGTGCTGTGTAAGTGTTACACATCATTATGTTGTTACTGTGTCACAATGTTGTGTGAAATGAGAGTTTGAGTGACTATGTAGGGATAGGTATCTGGGTAGGCTTTTAATTTGTTATGAATTTCTTTCTTATGAAGTTTTGGTCACACCTATTTCTCTCCTATTTATGTTTCTGACATATATACCAAAGATAGAAAATCAAGAGTTTAGTATTTTATGAGGAAGTAAAATATGAAAACAAATAATTATAATGGCTTTTTAGCCTTTGATATATGCATGGGAGAGGGGATGTGATAACTAACGAGATTTTAAAAGTTAGGCAGAATTTTGTCAGGCAGGTGAAAGATGGAGAGAAAGGATATTGCGACATTTTGTCAAATAGTATAAGCACATAGAGAAAATGTTCATTTTAAGCATGTTTGAATACAGTGTTGCATTTCAGCATTACCATACTTTAAAGATGGATGGAAGCAGATACATAATCCCCAGTGTTATCCTATAGAACTGGAACTTAAGTGGGGGGAAGCCATTGAATTGTGTATATTTTAGATGCCTCCTTTTTATTAATGCAGTGTGATGATGGGAGTTCAATTGGGTCAGCAAGCCCAGTTCACTGAAAAATTCATTCAGAGTTTTAGTACAGCTTTCCTGATCCAAGCACAGAATTGAGCGTGAGTAAGGAAACAGGTCTCTGTTCTTGTTGAATTCACATTTTTATCAAGATAGAAAACAGGCATACACCAGGTGTGGTGGTGCATGCCTGTAATCCCAGCGGCTCAGGAGGCTCAGGCAGGAGCATCACAAGTTCAGAGCCAGCCTCAGCAACAGTGAGGGGCTGAGCAACTCAGTGAGACAGACCCTGTCTCTAAATAAAGTACAAAATAGGGCTGAGGATGTGGCTCAGTGGTTGAGTCCCCTGAAGTCAGTCCCTGGTACCCAAAAAAAGAAAAAGACAGAAACAGGCATACTTTGTTTTACTGTACTTTGTTTCATTGCACTTTGCAATGCAAACTATTTTTAATAAATTAAAGGTTTGTAGCCACTCTGTGTTGTACAAGTCTTTGCCATTTTCCCAGGAACATGTGCTCTGTGTGTGTCTCGTCACATTTTCAAAATTTCTCACTGTATTTCAGACTTTAATATGGTATCTGTTATGGTGATCTGTGATTAATGATCTTTGATTTACTGTTCTAATTGTTTTGGTGCATATGAGATAGGACATACCTAACATTTATATTTATGTATATATATATATATATATATATATATATATATATATAAAGTTCTCTGACTATTCTGTTCTTTCTATGGACCTCCCTATTCCTTGTGACAAAATATCAAAAGTAGACCAGTTAATAACCCTATGATGACCTCTTTATGTTCAAGTGAGAGCAAGAGTCACACTCCTCTCACTTTAAATCAGAAGCTAAAAAAGGATTAAGCTTAGTGAAGAAGATCTGTTGAAAGCTGAATGAGATGAGTTAAAGCTTGGCCTTTTAGACTAGTAGATCAAGTTGTAAACTGAAAAGTTCTCAGAGGAAATAAAAAATGTTACTCAAGTAAATGTAAGAATAAGAAAGTGAAACAGACTTATTCCTGATATGGAGAAATTTTTAGTGGTCTGAAAAGATCAAAGCCAGCTGCAACACTGCTGTAAACCAAAGCCTAATCTAGAGCAAGGTCCTATATATCTTCAATTCAAGGCTGAGAGAGGTGCAGAAGCTACAGAAGAGAAGATTGAAGCTAGCAGAGATTTGTTCATGAAGTTAAAGAAGCCATCTCTGTAACGTGAAAGTACAAGTTGAAACAGCAGGTGCTGATGTAGAAACTGCAGAAGATAACTAAGATAATTATATGAAGGTGGCTAAAATGAACAACAGATTTTTTTTCAATGTAGAGGCTACAGCATTACATTGGAAGAAGATGCCGTCTAGAACTTAAAGCTAGAGAAAAGCTAATGCCTGGCTTCAAAGCCACAAAGGAAAGTCTGCTTCTTATTAGGGTTCAGTGCAGCTGGTGACTTGAAGTTGAAGCCAGTGCTCATTCACCATTCTGAAAATCCTAGAGTACTTAAAAATTATACTAAATCTACTCTGCTTATGCTCTAGAAATGTAACAAAAAGGCCTGGGTGATGATACAGTTGGTATACTGAGTATTTTAAGCCCACTGTTGAGACCTACTCCTCACAAAAAAAGATTTCTTTCAAAATATACTGCTTATTGGTAATGCACCTGGTCTCTGAAGAGCTCTGATGGAGATGTCTGGTGAGAAAAATGTTGTGTTTAGTGTTTTAACACAACATCTGCTCTATAGCCCTTATAGATAAGCAAAGAAAGGGTTTCTTCGGGCGGAATCTACTCTAGGTGAAGGTGCTATAAAACATTGTTGATATGACAACGAAGAATTTATATAAATGTAAGTTGATACAGCAGCAGAATTTGAGGACTGACTCCAGTTTTTAAAGACGTTCTGTTGGTAAAATGCTGTCAAACATTATCACATGCTACAAAGAAGTCTTTTGTGAAAGGAAGAGTCAGTCAATGGGGCAAAACTTTATTGTTCTCTTATTTTAAGAAACTGCCAGAGTCACCCTATCCTTCAGCAAACACCACGCTGGTTAGTCAGTAGTCATCTACATTCAAGGTAAGGTGAGGTCCTCCCCCCACAAAAAGAGTATAACTCACTAAAGACTGAGATGGTGGTTAGCATTTTTAAGCAATAATTTGTCTTCCCCCGTGATGCTTGCCATCAGACCTAGGACCTCATGAATTCTGTGCAAGTGCTCTCCAACTGAGCTATGTCTCCTCTCCAGTCCTGTAAAATATTTTTTTTTTAATATTTTTTTAGTTGTAGGTGAACACAATACATTTTATTTTATTTTACTTTATATCACACGTGTTAGGCAAACACTGTACTGCTGAGCCACAACCCCAGCCCCAGTAAAGTATTTTTAAATAAAGATATATGCATACTTTTTTAGACATAATGTTATTACATATTTAATAGACTATAGTATAGTGTAATCATAACTTTTATATATGCTGGGAAAAGGTAAACTTTGTGACTCACTTCATTGTGGTGATTTGGAATGGAACCTGTGATATCTACAGTGCATGCTTATAAACATGTAGAGCAAGAATGGTAACGTGGGGAGTTAGAACAGTGACTTGATAACTGACTAGGTTATGGAAGGAGTTTCTAAAGAGTTGGCATGAGATTGGAATGATCAAGAACCTTATAGGTTCTTTTTAGTAGTGGAGGTGAGAGGTGCAATTTAAAAGCACTTTAGGTAGGTAAATTGATGATTGAAAGTGGATGGTAAAGAGTCGGCAGAATTTAGAATGACTTCCAGGTGTTCGAGTGGGTGACTAGATACTAAGAAGACAGAGAATGCTGGTTTGGCATCAGGTGTGTGGGGAGAAGAAATTGAAGCACCTATGGAAATCATGATGAAGATACATTTTGTTCTGGCACCAGAGTGGGAAAAGAAAAGATGCAGTTGCTGATACGAAGATATGAGATATGTGAGGTCAAGGGAAAATGTTTATTGGGACATATTGCAGAAATTGGAATTCCAGGGAAATATAATGGAAGAGAGGGAAGGTAGCTCTACAAAACTCTTTTGAGAATGAATTGTCAGGAGAAATGTAAGAGAGGATATGAAGCTAAACAAGGGAGAGGAGGATTTCAAGAATGACAAGAGTGATAGAGGATCCAGTAAGGTCTAGTTAGGTTCCCTCAAGGTACTTTAGTTCCATGAGGATGAATGAAAAGGACAGGAATCAGATAGTGAATTATAGAAAAAAATGTTTTTGTTTATTTTTGCGGTACTGGGAGTAGAACCCAAGACCCCGAGCACTAGGCAAGTACTTGACCACACCCCCAGACTGAGAAAATGTTTAGTGGTAAAGTTACAAAGTAGTTTTGAAATCTGTGAAGCAAAGGAAGAAGTATTACAGCAACTCAGCAAGGATTTGCATAGATAAGGTAAAGTATTGAAAATGAAAAAGTACTTGCTGTAGATGCCTTAACATTTTTTCTTTGCACAACTAGAAAAGATTGAAGATATGGAATGTAAGTATATACTGATATGAGAGAGGGAGGGCACATTTGAAGGAACTGACCAAAGAAGGAAGAGGTAGGCCTCTTCAATACAGGGAAGGATGGAGGAGGAGGCTATAAAAATTCTAGGGAGATGTGGAAATCAAGGGAATTACTTCTTAATGGCTCAATCAACCAGACCCAATTCTCAAAGCAAGACATTTAGGTATAGTAAAAGGAAGAATGGATGACAAATTTATGCTAGCTATTCTGAGAGAAAAGGTGGGGTTAAAGGATTGATGAATGGCTTTGAGATCCCAACTGAGATTGCTTAAAGTGAATGCATGTTTGTATTGTTCCCCCTCTTGCCCCCAGCAGGCTCAGTATGAGCTTGGGAATTCTAACGTAGAATATAGAATTGTATTATATATATTATACAATAATATAATAGAATTGGATTATATGGGATTTTGTGGGACAGGTGCTACAAATCAAGGATGCAGAGAGACTGAGGAAACTCATGAATAGTACTCCCTTGAGGATTTTGTGTGTGGGATGGCTCAAGGGAAGGTAGTATAGCTAGAAAGTAGGGTAATTTATGCAGAGAAAATGAGTGAAAGGGTTAGAGGTCTCAGTGAGATCAAGTACCATATGTGGACATGAATCTAGTCAAAATATTTGCATTTAAAAATTTAAACATGTGTATTTAATAATTAGTCATTTTTCTAGATCAAATATTTTTTGTTTTCATGAGGAATGATTTTGACTTATGAGTTTTCTCTAATAGTCATAAATCCATGTCTGCAATAGAATTGGTCTTTAGTATAAGTGTTAAAATATTTTTATTAATTATTGATGAACTCATTGTTTTTGCTGCAAATAATCCATTACACCTATAATTCTTACTTGCTGTCTTAATTTATTTCCAAGTGGGGTTTTTTGTTTGTTTGTTTGTTTTTTGGGATTTTTTTTTTTTTTTTGCTCTGAATAGCTGATGGATTTGAACTGAATTTTAACTGCGCTCTCTCAGTTAATCTGGGAAAGAGCTCTCATGTAGTCTTGGGTTCAACTTTTACCTTGATTATGCACTATTATGCTTCAATTGTAAAAGCAATAATAATGTTTTTAAAACCAGCAAAGAAGAAATGAATACACTCTCAGAAATGGATTTGCTAAAATATACATTATTCATTTCCAGTATTCATTCATACTAATACTTTCAGAAAGGAAAGGTGGTACCCATCTATTGATTATTATTGATTATCAGTAACTAATATACAAATTTTCTACATGCTTATCACACTGAGCATCATGTTTGCAAATCATATAGCCTATTGATTAAAAGGGTAAACTGCCTTTTTATTAAAGAGATAAGATTATACATATTTTGAATGCTTTTATTTTTATTAATGTAGTTAATGCTGAATTCTAAACCATGGGAAAGCAGCTCTTAAATGGTTCTTTCATTCTTCTCTTTGATCTCTCCTTCAGTTTCTTTCCTTCCTTTGCTATTATTATCAGTACCAACTGCTACATGTTTTCATTTCCTTTCTGATTTGTCATTTTTTAAAAATATATTTTTGGGCTGGGGCTGAAGCTCAGTGGTAGCTGGCCTCATCATACATGTGAGGCACGGGGTTGGATCCTCAGCACCACATACAAATAGATAGATAGATAGATAAAAAGGTATGTGTCCATCTACAACTAAGAATATTTAAAAAAATTTTTTTTAGTTGTAGGTGGACACAGTACATATATTTATTTATTTTTATGTGGTGCTGAGGATTGACCCCAGTGCCTCACATGTGAAGTAGACAAGTGCTCTACCACTAAGCTACAACCCAGCCCTGATGTGTTTTTATTTTTTTTCTTTTGTGGCACTAGGGATTTGAACCCAGGGCCTTGTGCATCTGATCTGTCATTTTTAACCTTTATTCTACTATAATGTTTACTCAGTAATTACTGATTCTTATTTGGAACCATTCTCAGGAGAGTTAATGCCAAAATTTATCAGAGTGAATTATAATTTGCTAAGATTCCTGTTTGTAGAAAATAGGAATAACCCTAAGGGGAAAACATCAGATATCAGTCTTGGTTCAAAAATATATTATGTGCCCACTATTATGTATAATTATAATGTACCAATAAAATTTTTTTTGAGTATTAACAAAAGTTAGAGAGTTAGAGACTTTGAGAAAGAAGTACGTTAGTTATAGCATCATTGCATTGTTCTTTGGTTCCCATTGTATCAAAAGTATTAGCTTTATTTTTACAAATGATTTTTTTAGTCAGCATTTTCAAAAGCTGAGCTTTTTATATTTTTAAATGAAGAATTGTTCCCTAAAATCATAAGCAAAGTTTGAGGATTTTATTCTAATGAGTTGATTGTTCAGAAAAGATCATCTAGAAATTTTGCTTATATTTGTTGACTCATATTGACTAGCATATTTTTACCATTAAATTAAACTTTGTATACTGCTTATTAAATAAGTTAATTGAATTTTTGTAATTCAGGCAGAAAAACAAGTAGAAACGGAGGAGGCAGGAGTAGTGACAACAGCATCAGCATCTGTTAATCTAAAAGTGAGTCCTAAAAGAGGACGACCTGCAGGTAGGATTGTTAATGTTTAAATATTTGCTTGGCTTGTGATTAATATTCCAATCCATTAAAGTGTTGTTGCCTCAAGTGTTTTGGAATGAAGTAAATAGGCATTTGGTTACAGCCATGCATTTTCTTAATGACTGTTAACAGATATGGTCTGAGAAATGCATCATTAAGCAATTTCATTGTTGTTCAAACATCATAGAGGGTATGTAGAAAAACTAAGAAGGCTTTGACATTAGTAGGCCATTTAATCTTATGGGACCACCATTGTACATGCAGTTTGTCTTTGACAGAAATGTCATTATGCAGTGCTTACGTCTGAAATAATCGTGAATTTTTTTTTCTTTTTGTTTTTAATCCCATTAAATTTTCCACAGATACTGGCAAATGACACTAGAGTGGGGTTAAAACCACCAGGAATAATGGGCTTATTTTATCATTTATGAGGCATAAACTTTGTAAATGGAGCCATATTCAAAGAACAAACACAGCCTTTGATTAACAGCTGTTAATATGTTAAATTACTACATTCTTTGTTTATGAGGATATTTATAATATGCAGCTCTCATTAGCATTAATATTTTCTTAATTTGGCAAGTTGGAAATCTCTTGAAAAGGACCTTCCTAATACAGAGTATGCACAAGAAAATTAACAAAAATAGAGAATGTTTTTCTACTTCATAATAGGACTTATTGAAAAAGGATTACGATGCATAATAGCCAGAGGGGAGAATTAAATTTATTTACATGTTTTGGAATTTAATAGTGTTGTGATGGGTCAAATTAAGGGTGTTAGAAGACTCAGTGAATTTTGATATAAGCTTTCCAAAGATGTGTGTGTATAAATAAATGTACATATAATACTCTGATAGGAACGTATGTGATACTCTAAAGTTAAATTTTGTGACATTACTGGTAAATGAAAAATGTTGTTTTAAGCCCTCTCAAGCATACCAAGGACAAATTGATAATAGCTGATCTTTAAATTTTTTGGCTTGTTTCTCATTTGATTCATGATTTTTAAAACTTAATAAATTATTGTTATCTGTAATAGACCACTAAATAATAAACTCTTGATGTATAGAATTTTGTAATCTTTATATAATGAGATTTGCATTTTAAAGGGAAACTAATTATTTTTTTTCCACATGAATATTAGCTACAGAAGTCAAGATTCCAAAACCAAGAGGCAGACCCAAAATGGTAAAACAGCCCTGTCCTTCAGAGAGTGACATGTGAGTTGACTTTTAATGTATAATTGATTATTCAATAAATGAAACCTTTGATTACAAACAACTTGCATTTTTACAAGTTTTCTCTTGTTTTAAGGGATGTTACTATTCCTATTTTGATATTTCCAAAAATCATGGGGAGGATTGTAAAATGTAAAAATTGGTAAAAACTGAAAATATGTGGTTATTATTAAGACTTTTTTTTTAAGTATATGAAGATATAATGTTACTTTGGTAAAAGAGAGTAAAATCTAAAAGAAAATTGGGCAGGATAGTCTTGTTGAAGGAATTTGAGAGAATATATTTGAAGTGGTGTCCACAAGTATTTTTAGCTCCTTCAGAGTAGGTGCTTTATTCTAAAATGGTGCTAAAATTGTAGTGTATATTTAAGATTTTTAAGTATTTTGGAATAATCACTTAGTTATCAAAAAAAGTAAACATTTTCCCCCTTTGCTGCCTTTCTTAACTACTTATGGTAAGGAGGAAAACCTTTTTATAGCTGTTGTGTTTAAAGATTTTGTTGGAGGTGGCACACACCTGTAAGCTACTTGGGAGGCTGAGGCAGGAGCATCACAAGTTTGAGGCCAACCTGGGCAACCTAGTTGAGACACCCTGTCTCAAAATAAAAGAGTGGGGGTATAGCTCAGTGGTATAGAATACTTACCTAGTTATGCATGAATCCTGGGATAAATCCCCAGTATTGGGGGGACAAAAGAGTTTAAGGGAAAGCTCAAATGAGGTATGTTAAGAATGGGCTTATAATGTTTTGGATCAACGAATTATTTTTATAGGAACTTAATTATAGAACATTACTAGAGTTGTACTTTTCAACCAAAATATATTTAAAGATTTTATTTTATTATTTTATTTTTATGTGGTTCTAAGGATCAAACCCAGTGCCTCACATGTGTTTAGGCAAGTGCTGTACAATCCCAACTCCTATTTTACATCTAAGCTAGCTGTTAAAGTATTACACACCTGTAGTTCCTCTGTCTGAGGAAGGAGGGTTACTTGAGCTTGGGAGTTTGCGGCTTTCCTGGGCATTATAGCCAAGATCCAGTTTCGATCTGTCTGTCTCTCTTTTTTTTTTTTAAAGAAAATTACTTTCAAAAATAGTAACATATAACAATAATATATTGTTATTGTATACTTATTATAAGGAGAATAGATTCCAAGCGTTCTTACCACTAAAACAAAAAAATCTATGGGGTAATAGGAGTTAAATAACCATTTAAATGTATACATCCACTAACACATCACATTTTACATCATAAATAGAACTTGTCAATTAAAAGATAGTGGCACAGAAACACAACATGGTTTAATTATTGCAGCGATATTAAGAAATCGTTTACCCGGAGGTAAACAAGTTTGCAGTCATTATTCCTTGGGAAATCAATTTGGAAGGAAAATATTGCGAGATTCCCCTATTTTTAAATATAAGGAATCTCTCCTGATTAGGCCCCAGTTTTCCCTTGAAGTATACTTCCTAGTCCCTTTGTCTCCATGGCTTTTTGCTGATTCTTATGGAAATTATCTAATTTTGCCCTTCCTGTCAGCTGAGCTGCTTTGTCAGTGACTTTCAGACTATATGGATTCAGAGGCTTTAGCATGCCTTTTTAGATCACATTTTCTCTTGATACAATCTAATGTCATTTTTGGTAGTACATACTGTGTGTTTAATTCTAGTCAGCTTCAATGGTCTCACTCATAATACTTTCCCATATGTTCTTATCTTTTTTTAATTAATTATAGGCATTTAAGTGTATAGGTTTTCCTAAGAAACCACCCCTCAGGAATCATGTGTCCATCTGAAGAATTAAGGCATTCCAGTTTCAATTCTTAAGGCTAGCAGCTATACCCTTTATGAGATCTTTGACCCTAGGATGTGGGAATTTGAAAATCCTATATCCTTACTTGAAACAGAGGCTTTTTTTTTTTTTTTAAACTCAGTTTCTTAAATACCATATCAACTTTATCTTGGTAATAATCAGTTCAAGCTACTGATATTCTACCTTGAAACCCCTTTACCCCAAACCACATTTCCTTCTTTCAAGTTGTCATAGTTCTACAGTTTTACCCATGGATATATTAGGTAAAAAGTAGAATAGGGGTCATTGACAGCTGGGGCAGCAGAAAGGAATGGAGGGGCTAAGGTTGAATAAGACATAAGATGAACTGCCAAGAAAAGAAAATGAGAAGTTGATATTTACGGAATTCTTGCTATGGGAGAGGTTGGATAACCAGCATGAAAATATGGTTGGATAAAAGAGGAATTAGTTCTGATGTTCTATATACCACTGTAGGATAGCTGTAGTTTATAATAATTTTATATTTCAAAATAACTAGAGAAGGGTTTGAAAGTTCCCAACACAGAATAACATTTGAGGAGATGGAAATGCTAATTACTATGATTTTATCATTACACATTGTATATATTCTTCAGATTAATAATATTGTGTCCCATAAATAATAATGTTTGTTAATTAAAAATCTGTAAAGGGGTTGGGAGTTAGCTCAGTGATAGAGCACTTGCTAGCATATCTGAGATCCCTGTTTGATACAATTTCTATATTAGTGAGCTTTTTGCTCAGGCAATAGATAATCCTAAAATAGCAGGAGCTCACAACATTTATTTATTATTCCTGCTGAATGTATGCTGGGCGTTGGATGTAGCTACCTTTGGTTGTGTATTGTGAGTGGAGTGCAGCATTAAATTACATAAACTCTTGAAACTTATGTTCTTCATCATGAGAACAGCGTGGATGTATTAGTGACTATTTCTTCCTGATGGGTACTGAAATGGCAATAAAAGTATAGACAGAGCCTTGAAGAGCTAAAAGCAACTCATAATGTTCACATAAAGTAAGAAAAATTTGTTAACAAGCCACTGAGACACGTGGGGTTGTGTATTAGTCTTTAAGTTAACATATATTAGAAGACTTGAGGGGCTGGGGGGCTGTGGCTCAGTGGTAGAACACTTGTCTCGCATGTGTGAGGCCCTGGGTTCAATCCTCAGCACTACATAAATAAAAATAAAAAGGTACTGTGTCTACCTACAACTAAAAAAAATATTTAAAAAAAAAGACTTGAAAATTATTATTTTCTCAATGTCCCTTGAACTGTTAAAAAGATAAACTGCCAGGTTAGGGATGTAGCTCAGTGATGTAGTGCTTGCCTAGCAAGCCCGAGCCCCTGGGTAAGCCCCAGCACTGTAAAAAATAAGAGAGAGAGATTGTTACAAGTCTGTAGTTCATGAAAGGTGGCAAGTAGTGATAGTTAGATTCATGAGACTTCTTTACTTTGATACTGCTCAAAAAACTTTGAAGTAATCCCCTTTCTTTGACCTTAAAATAGTCTTTTTGGTTTTGGTTTTTTGAAGTGTGGTCTCATTATGTTGTTCAGGCTGGGTTGGATATTCTGGGCTTAAGTGATTCTCCTGCCTCAGCCTCCCAAGTAGCTGGGAGTACAAGAGTACACCACCATGCCCAGCTTTTATTTTTTCCCCCCTTGTGGTGCTTAGATGTTCAACCCAGGGGTCTCCTATATTCTAAGTATATACTTTAAAACTCAGCTACATCTCCAGCCCCACATTTAAAAAATATATGCCTGGGTCTGGGGTTCTGGCTCAGTTGTAGAGTGCTTGCTTAGCATGTGTGAGGCACTCGGTTCAATTCTCAGCACCGCATGTAAATAAATAAAGGTTCATCAACAACAAATGAAAATATTTTTCTAAAGCCACTTTAAAAAAAATACATAAAACATTCCATGTATAGGTATTATCATTTTTAAGATCTATTCCATATTTGGATGCTTGCTTTTAAAAAACATTGTTATCTAGGTTGGAGATAAAGCTCAGTGGTATAGCACTTGAAGAGCTAAAAGCAACTCACAGTGTTCACATAAAGTAAAACTAATTTGTTAACAAGCCACTGAGATTTGGGGTTATGTATTAGTCTTTAAGTTATTAGAAGTTAACATATATTAAACCCATGCCCAAGGCCCTGGGTTTAATCCCCAGTGCATCTTGTGCGCACACACAAACATTATCTGTTGTTTTTATGTGTGTAAGTTTGTTGGTTTAAGATGTGTTAAAGGGAGTAGATTTGTTGGGTGAGAGAAAGTTTGTATTTTTTAATAGCTACTTCCTTCCAAAACAGTTTGAAGAAAGCAGTCAGTTGATATTAAGAGCTACAGAAATTGTTTTTACATTTGACTTGACAATATTACCATTTTTAAGAAAAAGAGGTGAAACCCATCTGACATTTGAAAATAAGCACACCCAATGATGATTTCTGACAAATTTTTGAAGATGTAAAAGATGACATTTTTTTCTTTTCCAACTTAAGTCTCCTAAGTATTCAAGGAAGCACTTATTTGGTAGGGGGGGATCAGTGGGTTTATTATGTGACATTTTGCATCACATTTCTCATTTATCTGGGTAGCATTGGACCAGATGACATGGGATCCATCTTAATCTGTGAAAATTTCAGTAAAATTCCGTGGACAGCAAAAAGATCGTAGTGTTTTTGTTTTGTTTTTTGTGGTACTGGGGATTGAACCCAGGGCCTTATGCATGCAAGGCAAGCACTCTACCAACTGAGCTATATCCTTAGCCCAAGGTCATAGTTTTTAGACAGCTTTAAGTCGATGTATTTCTTTATAAAGGAGTTCTCTAGTTGAACACGTATGCCATAAAAGTAATTGTTAGCATTTGCATCATCTGATTGTCCTTTTATAGCCTGTTTCTACTATTTATATTCACATAATTATTATCCAGCAATAATTAGGATATTTGAATAAGTTAGGTAGTTTGAATTATTTAGCAATGTGTGGGAGTACTTAGATCGTAATTGGCTTAGTACTGTTTGTTATCATGCTTAATTTGCCATATATTTAAAAGAGTGCTTCTTTTGAATTCAAAAATGACATTTGATTTCACTTCTGCAATTCAGTTTTTCTGAGTGTGTCTACTTTTAAAAAATAGGGTCTGGGGATGTGGCTCAAGTGGTGTTGCGCTTGCCTGGCATGCGTGCAGCCTGGGTTCGATCCTCAGCACCACATACAAACAAAGATGTTGTGTCTGCCGAAAACTGAAAAATAAATATTAAAAAAAAAAATTCCCTCTCTCCCCCTCTCTCTCTCTCTCACTCTCTCTTTAAAAAAAAAATAATAATTTATTCTTACAAATACATAGTTGGCCCATAAGTTGGGCCAAGGGTATGGCTTCATGATAGAATGTGGGCTTAGTATGCACAAGGCCCTTGGTTAATTCCCAGCATCTTCAGGAAAAAACCAAAAAACCCAAAACAAACCACCACCAATCATCAAACTAACAACCCTAAAATATAGCCCCCAAACACACACCAAGATCCAGGGATCTTGCTCATCTTATATACTGTTGTTTCCTCAGAGTTAAAAACAAAAAGTACCATGGCACATGGCTAGTACTCAAATTATGTTTTTGAACAAATGAATGACATGAAAGGAAACTTGGAAAATGGGGGGAAATCACTTTCTACTTTCTATTAACCTAATGACACTTTAATTTTTTATCTTCTAATTTATATCAAAAGGATGTTCTGGTACAGAATTTCTTTTACTTTTCTGTATATTTACTTTGTATGGGTGTGGTATGTTGTATGCTGGGGACTGAATCCAGAGCATTGTATATACTAGACTGTACCTCTGAGATACTTTTCCAGCTTCTAGATTGACTTTTAAGTAGCAATACTGCTACATTTCTTTAGAGAGGATCTTGTTTAGTGGTGCAGGCTGGACTTGAGTTCGTGTCCTCTAGCTTCAGCCTCCCAAGTAGCTGGGATTACAGGTATGCATGTGGATTATTTTTATCATCTAAAATACTTGTTTGGTGAGTACAAGAGTATAGATGAATGACAAGTAATGATAAATAAAAGCTCATTATTGCATTTTGTAAAATAGGATTACTGAAGAAGACAAAAGTAAGAAAAAGGGGCAAGAGGAAAAACAACCCAAAAAGCAGCTTAAAAAGGATGAAGAGGGCCAGAAGGAAGAAGATAAACCAAGAAAAGAGCCTGACAAAAAAGAGGGGAAAAAAGAAGTTGAATCAAAAAGGAAAAATTTAGCTAAAACGGGGGTTACATCAACCTCTGATTCTGAAGAAGAAGGAGATGATCAAGAAGGTGAAAAGGTAGAAAGTTTATATATCATATAAAATACTTGTTCTGTTTTTAAGTTCTTTTTAGATAGTTTTTAAGCTGTACCCTAGTAAGTATTCAGTATTTTTGTGAAAGCTAACCTGGATTCTTATATTTCTTAATAGACTTCTACTAACTACATAACAAGTACATTTGAAACTTAATTTTCTATTCTGTATATATCTTCCCTTCTCACAATTATAGTCAGAAAATTGAATATGTACTTCCAATAACCCCACCTAGGAAAATAAGCGAATGTAGGAAATAAGCCAAGTTGGCTGTGATGTGAAGACAAATGTAAATATAAGGTGTATTTCTATATATATTTTTATTTACCCCAACGAAAATTTTTGTGCCTATTTATTGTATGTTTAGTCATTTATATGTAACTTTATTTGGATGCCATTAAATCTTGTTTGGGAAACTTATTAAAGCTATATGTCTGGGCTGGGGTTGTGGCTAAGTGGTAGAGTGCTTGCCTAGCACATGCAAGGCCCTGGATTTGATCCTCAGCACCACATAACAATAAAGCTATTGTGTTCAACTACAACTAAAAAATAAATATTAAAAAAAAAAAAAAAGCTATGTGTCCTTTTGTGTAGAAAAACAGAATAGCCTTAAGAGATGTACAGATCCAGGTCACATAGACATTTTCTCTCTCTCTTTTTTTTTGTATTGGGGATTGAACTCAAGGGCACTTGCCCACTGAGTTACATCTCCAGCCCTATTTTTGTCATTTTTATTTTAGAGACAGGGTCTCACTGAGTTGCTTGGTGCCTCCCAAGCTGCTAGGATTATAGGCATGCATGCACCACTGCACCTGTTTTTTTCTCACATTTTAATATTTCAAAACTAAAATTTTTAAACAAAATAGGCTCAGCAGTGTGCTTATCAGTATTCACATAAAATTACTGTGACAGGAAGAAGACTATTAAATCCACAATCATAAAGGAAAGTGAAGATTGTAGAGCAGAGATGTGTAAAATTCAGTTGTGTTTTTTAAAATTACTAATTTAAACACGTCTCTCAAAACTAGTTATTTTTCTCTGGAGATTGTCATTACAGCTACTAGTCACTGACTTTGATAGTTAATTAAATCCATCCTGATTCTCAAACAGAAGAGAAAGGGTGGACGAAACTTTCAGACTGCTCACAGGAGGAATATGCTGAAAGGCCAGCATGAGAAAGAAGCAGCAGATCGAAAACGCAAGCAAGAGGAACAAATGGAAACTGAGCAGTAAGTATTTTTTTATTCTAAATTTTGGGTTTTCTTAAAGCTAGCATGGGTTTTTTAAACAATAGACTTCATTTTCGAGACTTTATGAAGCCTTTTGAAGTGAAATTTTTCCCATGTTAGAAAAATCTTCCATATATGAAGATGATATTTCAGGCTTCATTATTTTCTGAATGAAGGATGAGATTCTTGGAGGCAGTCACCCTGTGAATTCTTTTTCAGTTTAAACTGAAAGTGCAGATAAGTTTTAACTGTTGGTTTTGCAGAAAATTGTACTCATCCTCTCTTATTTGTGTGATATATAAATATAGAAAGAGTGGTGATAATATATTGGTGGAGAAAGAATGCAGGATATATTCTTGTTATACCACCAGCAGGCCTACCCCTAAAGACCAGCAAAAATAACAAAAGCACAGGTGGAAACCCATGAAGCCAGTAAAGTAAATCCAGTGGCTGACAGGGTTTACATTGAATGTGTGCACTATAAATCAAGTTCAAATCTGTTTTCCCTTAAGTTTTGATACTTGGAGATGGTATATACTTACCATGGGGGATTTCTTTCCCCTTTATTGTATAAAATAATTTTATTAATAGAATGAAAAATGATAGCAATGATGATTGTTAGACTTCATGTCTTTGTTTTCCTGGTTATCTTTTAGACTGTCACTTCTGAATTCTTTCTCTGAAATACTTTTCTTTCCTGTGAAATGTCTTACACTCTTTAACTTTTTTTTTTTTGTTGTTGTTATTTATAGTGAGGAGATAATTTTATAAACATGCTCTATGTCACTAAAGACAAAGATAATGAGCAGTGAAACTCCAAACATTCTTGAATAATTTTTTTTATATTATAAAATAATCATAAGCCACAAGACTATAAATATAGCATTTGCCTCTGACTTCTTAGTTGTACGGAGGCTATATGAGCAGCTTTAGCCTCTTGTGGGAGTATTTTAAAAAGTGATCTGAAGTTCAGAAATGTTACTCCCCGTTGTTGACTTTGACCACTTCTGTAAATATTTTTTTGTTACCTATCCTTTTCACTGAAAATTTGTTGGACTGTTGGTTGCTTTTAACTTCATTGTGCTCCCAAAATTAGGATACAGAATTAGTTGTTGCCTAGTAAAATAGCCCATCCCTTCTTTAGTATCTCAAAGTTATCTTTTTATGTATTTCAGTTTCTTTTGAATGTCCTCCAATGTAATTTTCTCAAATTCTAATATTTGTGTTTTCTTTCCTTCTCCTGTTATTACAAAACTTTGTACTTGGACAGTTTTGCTCTGTAAAGCATTTCAGATGCAACTTGTGTGAAATGCATTATGCAAAATAAAGTTTATTGTATTGTATTCCCAGCCAAACAACATGTAATCTACAGTAATAAAAAATATATCTCATTTTGGGCTCAAAGCATTAATCCAGTTACTGAAAAGAGAATACAAGTGGAGCAAACAAGAGATGAAGATCTTGAGACAGACTCATTGGACTGAATTTCCCCCTCCCCCCCCTTGATGGAAGAATGTTCCAGATTCTAAATTGAGGACTTCATTATTAATGGCATTATTACTGTATTATGATTGTTAAAATTTCCTGTAAGGTACACACTACATCCTAAGGTCTGCCATCATTCCTGTTAAGTTTTTTACCAAGCTTAAAATGAAGCTTTGTGTTTGAAAGTTATAACAATTCTAGATGAAGATGGTGGTTGTACATTATTTCATTTAGAAAATATAAAAATTCATTTTGTTTTGAAGCTAGGTATTAACTGGAATAGCTATACATCCCTGAGAATGGGGCAATTGTGCCCTTCCCTTGACATTCCTTGTTGTTTAATTCTTTAGAATCTTAATGATTGTTTTTTTAAAAATCCTGAGAGATTAATCAGTAGACTTGTTAAGAAAAAAATGAAACTGTAACCAAAATTTTAAAATAAAGTTTTTTTAAAAAAAAAAACCTGATTTTTAGATATTTTTTGTTCTTGTCTATTTTAATTGGTTTATAGTATGGCCTGATTGCCAAGCCAAGGTACTAGAAATTACGATTTCAATTTTAAATGGTTATTTTTGTGATTCATAGTAAAACGGTACCTTTTCATTTGAAATGGTATATAAATGTTAGTGGATGTCATTTAATTTGATAATGGCTTCCCCTTCCCCAATTTTTAAAAAATTTCATAGGTGTCTTAAAAACAGTATTTTAATCTTGAAGCTTACTTCAAAAATCCCTTAAATTACCTGCACTTCGGAGATGTGGTGAACAATTAAATTGGTCTGTTTTGTTTTTGTAGTGCTGGGGATCAGACCCAGAAAGCCTCATGTAGGCAGTCGCTCTACCATTGAGCTACAACTCCAGCCCTAAATTGGTCTGTTTTAAATGTGCTGCTTTTAAAAATAATTGTGATGTAAAATCCATTAAATGTTTATAGTATTCTTCCCATTGTAGATTGTTGATCTGAATGTGGGCTTTTAATATATTTCATGTTGGAAAGAAAATTTCATTGTGACAGTTCCAAAATCATTTTGTGAAGTCACTAAAAAAAGATTGTTAGATTTAATTTAGCATATTGAGTTTTGCTTATATTTGTACTAATGCTGTGGAGCTCCGGTTCTAAACACTGTAATCAATTCTTTGTGGTCTAAGCTATTGATTTATTATTATAAGGAAAATTTTTTATTATTTACATAAGGGATTGTGGGCATTTGGTAATCATAGTCACAAAGTTCCAATGTTTTGAAATATTTGTGTTAACATTTGATAGGCAGAATAAAGATGAAGGAAAGAAGCCAGAAGTTAAGAAAGTGGAGAAGAAGCGAGGTTAGTTATTTCACTTTCTACGACGTATAAAAGCATACATAGAAAGTTTGTAGACAATTTTTCATGATTGGCTTCAGAATCAGCCTCATTTTCTTATGTCCTACAAAAACATTCAGATTCCTGATGAATTCTATATAAAGTACATTGTACTTTAAGCGTAACTAGGTGAACTTGCTAAATAGTAATCTTTGTATTTTAATATTTGTCATCTGATATCAGATTTTTCTAACTTGGACAAAAGCTAAACACTTTCTCATTTTTGTCAGATTGCTTAATTAGGGTTAAGTGTATAAGGTAAGGCAGGTGTTTTATGGATTGGTGTGTAGAGTTCATTGGATGTAGACAATGGCATATTTTGTGCTTTCATGCTGTTTGTTGCTTTCCTAAACTATATATTAAAAATTGCAGGTAACTTCTTATTCTTAAGCAATTGTTCATCTATAAAGAGTTTCTTAGTAAAATATATATTTTTAAGAAGCCACAGTTTCTTTCCATTATAAAGCAGATTATACAAAAACACTGGTTTTGGAAAAACTATTTACTGTTTTTCACATATTTTAATTTATAGAAACATCAATGGATTCTCGACTTCAAAGGATACATGCTGAAATAAAAAATTCACTCAAAATTGATAATCTTGTAAGTGTTTAACTTCCTTTAAAAATACAGTGCTGCTTTTATAGCTTCATTTTTGTTTCTCATTGAATTAATTTAAGATAAAAGGGACAATCACTGGTTAATTTGTACTGCCTTGACTTTAAAAAAATCTTCAGAAATAAATTATATATGCTGTGAAATAATTAACAATTACTATTTTGTCATGAAGGATGTGAACAGATGCATTGAGGCCTTGGATGAACTTGCTTCACTTCAGGTCACAATGCAACAAGCTCAGAAACACACAGAGATGATTACAACCCTGAAAAAAGTAAGTATATCAACTCACATAGGCTTTTAACATTTTCATATTACTTCATTAAAAAAATAAGTATAAGAAAACAAACAACTAGGGAAACAATTATAAATATATATTGTTTTCTCAGATACGGCGATTCAAAGTTAGTCAAGTTATCATGGAAAAGTCTACCATGTTGTATAACAAGTTTAAGAACATGTTTTTGGTTGGTGAAGGAGATTCTGTCATCACACAAGTGTTGAATAAATCTCTTGCTGAACAAAGACAACATGAGGAAGCGAATAAAACCAAAGATCAAGGGAAGAAAGGCCCAAACAAAAAGCAAGAAAAAGAACAAATGGGTATGTATAATCTGAAGCCAGTTTTTAAAAAACTGTTTGCCAGGATTTCCTTTTAAAAATGGTTTACCAAGCCTGGGAATGTAGCTCAGTGGTAGAGCACTTGCTTGTGCTTGAGACTGTGGGTCTAATCCTCAGCATGGAATTGGATGGGAGGGTTTAAATATGGCTTTACTACATAGGCAAAAAATATACCTTCACCATCTGCCAATAAACTGGAAGTGACTACTAAAACATTGTTATCAACAATGAGGCTTCATTGTATTTTCATTGGCCTTGAGGTAGTCTTAAATAAAAATGTGTGATGGGCCTGTCAAACCACTTAAGCAGCACAGCAGCATGCCCTCAGAACAAGAAATCGTGTCAGTTTATAAAGTCAGGGTTCTAACACAAAAACCATAGTTAATGGGGCAAATGACCGGAGGAATGTAAAAACTCTATCTAGAACATTGTCTCCTCCCTAGAGGATTCGCTTCCTAGTCCAGCTTTCATTTCTCAGCCACAGAAAACAAAACCAATCCCCAGGGTTCAATAATGATGTGTGTGTGTGTATACACACACACACACACACACACATATATACATACACAGGCACACACATAATCTTTTAGTTGTAGTTGGACACAGTACCTTTATTTATTATGTGGTGCTGAGGATTGAACCCAGGGCCGCACACATGCTAGGTGAGCGCACTACTGCTGAGCCACATCCCCAGCCCCTCAATGTTTTGATCAAAACAGCATCACACTAACTGGGGCATGGTTGTATGCCATGGGCTACTAAGGCAGGAGAATCACAAGTTCAAGGCCAGCCTCAGTAACTTATCAAGGTCCTAAACAACTTAGTGAGACCCTGCCTCAAAATTTAAAAAGGGGCTGGGATGTGACTCATTGGTTAAAATAGGCCCTGAGATCAATTCCCAGTATCTTAAACAAAACAAAAACCAAACAGCATCACAGGTGGAGCCTGAAAGTTGCTATATTTACAGCTGATGGGAGTATTCTGGTTCATGCTACTGTGCTTAGTCATGCTGAGCATATTATTTTTTAATTATATTAATGGGTTTTTTGTTTGCTTATGTGTAAATAAAAAATTAACAACTATATTATTTTTCTAATTATTCCTTTACCCATAAGTACATGCAATAACTGTTTATTTCTGTGCATTAGCTGCACAAAGACTTGAGTGATGTTACTTGACAGTGAAGCTGTCCTGTATATTCCTGAAATGGCATCAAAACCCAATCCTAAAATTAAGTATTAGAAACTTAGGAGCCATGTTTTATTTTTTATTTTGAATCTTTAACAAAGTATTTCCATTGGAATCCTTTTAAAGGTTCAAAGACTCTGAATGGAGGATCTGATGCTCAAGACAGTAATCAGCCACAGCATAATGGAGATAGCAATGAAGAAAGTAAAGACAACCATGAGGCCAGCAGTAAGAAAAAGTGAGGACGTGTTTTAATGGGTCTGTGTGTGTGTGTGTTTTGAGGTGGGGTTTTGCTGTATAGCCCAAGCTGGCTTTGAACTCCTGGGCTCCAGTGATACTCCTGACTCAGAGTGACTTAGGTGTGCAGAGTAGCGCCTGGATCATGTTTTCTTTCCTTTTTTTTTGTAATCATAAGTTTTTGACCACAATACTTTAACCAAGGTGATTTAGTACTCAGGGTAGAACCTAGGGTAAGCACTCTATATAGCACCAGCAGGGTAGCATTTGATCACTTAATCCTTGAATTCAATAAGGAAATTGTAAATTGGCAAGAGAGGTGTCTCCCCCAAATCCCCAAAAGCCAGTATACAAATAATTTGCTACTGTATTCAAGAAAATGTAGCTAGGTGGGAATTCTATAAAAAACGGTTTTCCCCGGTCTATCTTTCTACATGGCTTTTTATTGTGCTTTACCGTTGAGCTGCGTTGAGCTGTGTATTCTCAGCCCCAATACGATGTTAATGTCTTGCTTTCAAAATTCCTTCAATTGTGGAAGGATAAATGCATTAACAATTTAGATGTAGAATCATTGATTATTTTATACAGTAATCCTATACAACTGTAGTTGTCCAAAATTTTTGTTTGTTCAAAGGATGTGGAATCAAGCATCCCTTCAAATTGTGTAATTAAAAAATCTTGTCTATGTATTTTGGCATCACAGATAAAAAATTTTCATTCTGCCATGCGCCATGGTGGACACCTGTAATTCCAATGGCTTGGGAGGCTGAGGGAGGAGGATGGCAAGTTCAAAGCCAGCCTCAGCAAAAAAGCAAGGCGCTGAGCAACTCAGTGACACCCTATTTCTAAATAAAATACAAAGTAGGGCTCAGAATGTGGCTCAGGGGTCAAGTGCTCCTGAGTTCAATTCCTGGTACTAGAGGAAAGGCTTCTTTTCTATTATGCTTTCCTGGGTTATTGTGATCTTCAAATTACTTTAGGTAGAAGATATAAGGGTAAAATTTTGAAAATCTTGATGTGTCTTAAATAACAAGGTTTGTTTTCATTTTCATGTTTTGGTAATTTTAAAAATGTAATGCAGATTTAATGCCTTTTTTCCTTAGGAGAAAACCCTAATTTCAGTTGTCACACCTATCTTTCCCCCTTTTTCTTTAGGCCATCCGGTGAAGAGAGAGAGACTGAGATATCTCTGAAGGATTCTACACTAGATAACTAGGTTGACATACCTGGAATATAAAGAACATTTGACAAGTTTGTAATGGTTTTCCTTTGAAATATTTAGATTGCTGAAAGTTTTAAATTTTTATAAGCATAGGTTTTGATGTCTACAACTTGTTTTGAGGGAGATAATCCCTTTATCTTTGTTTAAAAGTAACTAAACATTATTGCTATTGTACTTGTGCAGTATTAACAGCTACATTATACAGTAAATGTTGGGGGGTAATCCATTTAGAAATGTTAAAACTGCTTTTCCAGATATGGTTGTAGCATATTTTCAATTAGTGTGTGTATGTTAATGTGTAATTGGTAGTAAAACAGTTACATTTTTTAAACTGCTACTTGTATAAATCCTCTTTTCCCAAATACTGTGGGTTTTGTGCATAGTTTTTACAAATCTTGGACAGAGTGTCTTTTCACTGTGGGTTTTGTAGAAGTTGAGCATTTTTATGGTTGATAAAATGTTACTTCTATACAAGTACTCACTCCCTCCTTTTTTATCAAAAGTTAATTTTAATATCAGTCCACATTGTGCTCCATTCTGCTTTTTTGTAACAGTATCATCTGTATTCCTTTTTATCCAATTGACATCAAACTGACTTCTATGAGGTTCAACTTATGTTAAGATAATTTAGTTTTGTGGCTGGGAATTTAGTGAAGGCACATGACTTTCCTGCAGAGAACAGACTGGGTATTATATATGTATATGAATGAATCTGATTTTAGAGTTCAACCATTTAAGATCCTTTACAGGCACTAATAACTAAAACTAAAAATGTTTATTTTTGAGAAATGTCTTAAGTCACATTCATTAAGGAAGTCACAAAGTAGTATTTTTTTAATTGGGAAAAAAGTCAATCCATGATGCTTATGTGGTAAATATAAATAAATGCTATATAAAGAAACCTATTTGAAAATGTGGCTATATTAGAAGGGAATTTGTATTTTCATTTCTATATCATATATGTAACAGGGTTACAAAAAATAGAAATATTAGTTGCTCCAAGGTAGTATTTGACAAGTCTGTATTTTGATGTATATGGACTAAATCTGGAAGAACCAACGTTAACACAAAATTTAATAGTCTGTTAACTAAAGGATAGCATTTCTAAGATATTTTAAATATTAGGTCAGTTGGTGGTTTTCAATAGGTAGGTAGTAGATACGTTTTGAAACTCTTTATGAATATGGGAAAATGACTTAATACCAGTGTTTGTAACATGTGTTGTAAGTTTCATCTATACAACTTGAATTATTTGGATAATTGAATTTTTGCTTTTTAGAAGTCTTACAATGGAGCTAAGACCCACTGTTTTGAGGGAACTCTGCTATTACATTATATATACACCAGTCATCTGTTTTGTCCTAACAGTTTTAACTTAGATTTATTCTAGTTGAGCCATAAGTGTCAAATGTGTAAACTTGTTTTGATTAAAGAATTTTTCTATCAAACTCCATTAGTAAATTACTTCTTTGCTGTTTTAAGAGTTTAAGGAAATAATTTTTTAGTTATCTGGTTATTGATCCTGTTTGGGGACACAGGGTTAACTAAATATAAGCACAAGGTGATTTAAAAATAAAGGAAATATTTTTTTTTGTTCTCTCTCCCCTTTTTTCCTATGACCCAAACAGATCTATAGTTTTACCAAGAAGCCACAGAATATTCAACTTCTGGAGATACTAGCAGCATTCTGATAATTTCTTTCTTCATATAAGGCTCACCTTGCTCTAACCAGTTAACCTTCTTTGAAATATTCTTTGTCATAGGTGATTCATGGATAACTGCCACTCTCAGGACTCACCAAAAAAGGTCATCAAGACCTTTAAGGCATTGGCAATATTTGGTTTAAATTCCTTAGCTAAGAGATAATTGCTAACCCCCACCCCCCAAAAAAGTATGTGTAGAATCTGAACAATACCTTTTGTGCTATTTGATCACTGGATAACATTTTGGAAGAGTAATTGATTGCTGAAGGTTTCTCAGCTGCTTGAATCAGAGAACCTGACTGGGAATTTGTATGGATAATTTGATCAGAGTATCTTAAGGCTCAGCTATTGTAGCTGTATCTAGTGAGATATAATTTTTTAAACTAAAGATGTTCCTACCCATACCCACTTACCTGGTTAAAGATGTAATGTCAGCAGGAGGTCTGCTATCTAATTCTGGATGAGAGCAAAGGCTTTTTTTTTTCCCCCTCAATTGTTCAGTTGACCAGAGATTATAAGAAATAGATAACCCTTAAGAAATGAAGAAGCCATTAATAGGCAAAATTTTATGTTTATATTTGTCTTGTGTAATTGTCCAACACTAATGACTGATCTTTCCCCCAGTAAAACTGCAGTGTCTAATTATCCCTAAAGGAATCTGAAGCCTGAGAAAAATATTAAAAGAAATAGTTAACTGCTTTTCTGTGTAGTGATCTTTTGCATGCATCTTCTATTATATCAAAATTAAGTTCATGACATTTTCTTATTTCTTCATTGATGTATATCATAATTCATGGTGTAAAGTATGGTGTGTTTAATAGATTGAAATAAGCTTAAAGAAAGGCTGTCTTTGATTTGGGTGTTTTGTTGTTGTTTTTAACTTGGTGGGATACTCACATAAGTAACACTGGCAAATTGTGGTATGGCCTGGTTCTTGTCAGTTTCACCAGGAAACAACAGTAGATTCTTTGGATAAGTTGAACTATCAGAATAGAATAACATTCTCAATAAGTGATAAAATAAGAATGCATTATGATAATTAACTTGCTGGGACTTGCTGTTTTGAGAGTATGAAATGAAAAAGCATATTAATGCAAGACGTGTAAGAAATGCAGTATTAAAAATAACTTTTACCTGTGGACTTCTAGGAAGTGGGTAAATCACTCATTTGTCTTAAATCTATGATTTTCCAGCAGAATTTTCTATCTGTTCAATGTTACTGGCACCACTGGATACAGGAAAGTAAAAATTTAGGCACAATGTAAGGCAGCCATGGAGGGGCCTCTTTAGTTCTCTATGCCTATGCTGATCCTCTACTGATTGAATGAGTGAATGAAAACACCTCTAGACATACCAGAAACAGGTACTTGTCATCACCATATCATTCAACTTAATATGTATACGTGGCATATAGTCCATGAATCATACTTCACTGTCAGTCTTTGAAATAGGCTTACAGGCTTCATCAGTTTTTGATTTCTAAATGTCTTTTCTCAGCCATCCAAAGAAATGTACAATTCAGCTGAATTTAAATATAACCTAGGAGAGAGAGAGTAAAAATTATAGTGAAAATCTATTTTATAGCATTTCTTAAAGTCTTAAGAAATTGAATTTTACAATAAAAAAAGTTTCCAGAAAATACTCTAATCAGGAAACTTTAGTTTGTTTCAAGCTAGGTGTGTGGTAGACTCCTGTAATCCCAACTACTTGGGAGATTGAGGATGGAGGATCCATAGTTCAAGCTAGTAGCTTGAACCACATAGCAAAACACCACCTCAAAAACAAAAAACTTTTCCGTAAATTATAAGATTAGGAGAATGGAAGAGCTGGGTTAGAAAAGTATTCTTTCCCTCTTTTTGAGAAAACTGTTACATATTATTGAGTATTATTGCTCAATCCATTGGATCTTGATTTTTCCCTATCTCCATGGTAATACCCAATCTGCTATTTTCTTTTAAATTGACATTTTAAACCGATGAAATTAGTGAGGCTTTATTTTAAATACTGTGAAGATGTGTACATACTTGAGCTTTTTACATTCATTACTCATGTATCTAGGGAGATACATGAATGTCTTGTGTGCTTATTCATATCAAGATACTTAATATCACAAAAGAGACCACTGAATGACACAATAGCTATTCTTGTATTATTCATAAAACAATTACTCTTGTTTTTAACTTCTTCCTAATTTTTATTACAGATATTTAAAGGATCTTTACCTTGGAAGCCTCATGGTAGAAGGTGTAGCAATCACATTCTTCAAAGAATTTTCAAAACATTTCCACCGCTTGATGTATCATTGATTCTATCATTAGCAAAAAATACTCAGGATACAGAATGAATAGGCAAGCATGGATTGGGAGAAAAGAATCAGAATTTGTGTATGTGACAAAAGATTAATATATTCAGAATATATGAAGTACTTCTTCAAGATAAAATGAGTAAAAAGCAATAAATAAATATACTCTGGAATAAATACTAAGTGAAATAATTTAGCATTTTCTAAATATTTGGACCTGTTTTTAATTAAAGGTTCCAGGATCAACATAAGGATAAGCAAGGAATTCCCCCAGTTTGTTGCCTTCTGAATCGTAGTGGAGCATTCGGAAGCAAACATCACAAAAGAAACATGGGTCCTCTGGTGCAAAACTGTCACTGTTCGTCACCCATCTGTAGTTTTTAGAAAAAGATGTATGTCATTATAAATCAAGTTTTTCATGCCTCAACATGCTATAACCTGTAAACAGAACATTCCCACTATTATCAGTCCATGCCCCTAACACTAATGCTGCTGCTTTGTAAAACTTCCTTTTAAAGGTAAGTAGAAAACTATAATAATCTCAAAATGTATACTCAAAAGTATACATTTGCCATGATACAACCTGTCCTCCAGACATGTTCTATTTCTTCTAAAAGGCAATCTTAAACACACAGACTCAATATAATTCTACATGCTGGCAAACCTCAAACTCTTTCCAGTTATATATCAAATTGTTTAGATTACAGTTATGTTATTGTGTCCCACCTGTGCTGTTCTAATTTTAATATGTGTGCTTCTGAAAACAATTCCTTTTTTAAACTGGTATATTAGTACTGCTGTTCTGAAAACACGAATGTTTTAAATTCTAAATTAGACACAAGGGAATGTGTGCATAGTGATATTCAAGTGAGATTGTTTTTGGGATTGAGAATGTTAACTGTTCACAGGATGAAAATACTACTTTCCAGTCTAATTGAAGTCTCCATTTCATGGAATGTTTGCTTTTAATATCTTGATCTGGTAAACTGATTTGTTTTTCTATTGATCCTTTAAATGTGTATTATTGGGGCTGGAGTTGTGGCTCAGTGGTAGAGCACTCGCCTAGTATGTGTGAGGCACTGGGTCAATCCTCAGCATCACATTATTTAATAAAAAGTTTTGTTAAGTATATTGTGGTTGGGAATCCAAAATAAACTTTTAAGGTACTAAATTCTTCCTATTTTGAGTAGTTTCCGAACTTTGTTTTACTTTGATCTACAGTAAGAAACACATTGTAATCTAAACATGCAGAATCACATACAGCAAAATTTTTTAAGAAACCCATATTTGGATCTCACAAAACAAACTCACTACCTGGTTTTACTAGTACTACAAATAACAAATAACAAAAAGTGCAAAGTATTACTTCTAAAAGGAAAAGAAAAAAAATACACATTACTCACCTAGCTGTGTACATTTTACAAACAAAACATTTTCTGGTCCATAGCCAGTGTTTCTTGGTAAGAAGGGGATAAAGTGTTCTATCCAGACAGTCATCATAATGTACAAGCCTGTTCATTGGAAAATAAATGAAGATATTAAAGTGCAAATTTTCACTTCAAGATACTCCCAGCTTGATCATAGGGGGACCACTCTCACATCTATGTCACTACTGCTATTACAGTGCTGGCAAAGAAGTAAACTGTCATTGCAATGCAAAGGGAGAAGGAAGGAGGGGTCTGAGAGCAAGGTGTTCATTCCTATGAGACTTCCAAGTTCCCATACTAATAGGCACTGGAGCTTTCAGACATAGTATCTCTTAAATATATTCTACCCTAATTCTTGATCTGCTTAACAACTTTGTTCCATTAAAAGGTGGGTACTTTAAGCAAGGCTGCTCAGTGATACTTTACCTAGATTAACTGGTTGTTATCACGTTGTCTGTGTTTATTGTTGTCTGCACTAAAAATCCAAATCTCATTCCTGGTACGTAAATTAGTGGGATTTTAGTTTTAGGTGTCACAGCTATGAAACTTAGGTTTTAAGAAACTAATCTGGGGGCTGGGGATGTATGTGGCTCAAGCGGTAGCGCACTTGCCTGGCATGCGTGCGGCCCAGGTTCAATCCTCAGCACCAGAGAATTTTTTTTAATATTTTTTACTTTTTGGCGGACACAACATCTTTGTGTTACTAATCTGAAGTCAGTTTCTACTAATCAGCTGCGTGGCTTTGGGTAAATGCCTTAAACCATAATGGACCAATTCTCTTCCTCTGAAAACTGAAAGAACTGCAAGGCTATCAAATTTGATTTTTTACTTGATTATTTGTTTGTTTGTTTTTGGTTAAGAAAGGATACCAATATATGAAAACTTCATCTTCAATAAAATGATTAAACCATAAAGACTGTGGAATGGCATTAAATGGTTAAATCAACCTATAAGATGAAAATGACCTGAATTATTAACTGCCTTTCCTTAGCACTGAGACAGATAATTGTTTCTTTTGTTGACCAATTCATCAACAAGTTCCCTTGAGTTTAAGTGCCATGTTTTATTCTACAGCCTTGGAATGACACTGGTTACAGCAGTATGTCCACACCTTCAGAGAACAGTGGGTGTGATCTTCCATCTTTTTCCGTTTTATTGGTGGTGCTGGGATTGAACCCAGCTTCAGACATGCTAGTTAATCTGCTTTACCACAGAGCCAGGCTTCCTCAACCCCTTTCCATTTTATTTTGTCATAAGGCAAGCACATTCCTCCTCCTTTGAATGGAAGAGTAGGCTTATATATTACCAAAGACAAATATACCATAATTAGTTTTAAAGGTCAGATTTCAAATAAATCTGAAGTTAACTCTCCTGGATCTTGCCTCACCCACTAGGGAAAATTTCTTCCATTCTTAATTTAATCCACCTAAGTCATACAATTAAAGATGGATGCACTATATTTTTATGTGGTGCTGAGGATTGAACCCAGTGCCTCACACATGTGAGGCAAGCACTCTACCTCTGAGCTCTACCCCAGCCCCACAATTTACTCTCTTCTTGTTTTTGGGGGGGAGGGTGGGGGGACATGGGGGTTGAACTCAGGGGCACTTGGCCACTGAGCACATCTCCAGCCTATTTGGTATTTTACTTAGAGACAGGGCTTATTGAGTTGCTCAGAGCCTCGCTGTTGCCGAGTCTGGCTTTGAACTTCCGATCCTCCTGCCTCAGCCTCTGAGCTACTGAGATTACAGGCATGTGCTACTGTGCCCAGTTTACAATTTCACTTATTGTGTAACATTTTGTTTTCTAACTACTAAGTTTCTCATGTTTCCATTTGTTTAACTTGCAATGTACATGTCTCTAATTCAGTTCTCTATTTTCTGACTTAATAGGAACAACGTATCAGGGTTAAACAACAAAAGGAAGTTCTTTGGGTCTATTTTCTTCTCACACATGTCTCTTCAGTTCTCCAAGCATCCGGCTGCAGTCTCTGGATCTATCATGTTGGATTTCACTTTTCCATTAGAATAACACATCTTACATCTTTATCAAGACTATTTGTGAAGTACTTTCAGTGGTAGCTTCCTAAGAATGATTAATAAGGATATAAAATTCTAGAGACTGATCACTAAGACCTGAAAACAGAAAAAGGGACTTTCTAGAAGCATCAGTTCCTATTATTTATATAATAAAAACAGGTATATCTGTTCCATGAAAAACTTAGTCTCAGAATGAATCAAAGCAGCAGTAAAGCAGGACTTTACTGCTTCTGCCTCAGCCTCGGAGTTGTTAAGATTACAGGCATGTACCACCATGCCCAGCTTCTGTTTTCTGTTTTTGATACTGGGAATTGAACCCAGCTTCACATGGGGCACTGACAGAGTTTACATCCCAGCTCCTTTTATTTTGGATTTTTAGAGTCTCTATTAAGTAGCTGAGACTGGACTTGAACTTGCAATCCATCCTCCTGTCTCAGTCTCCCAAGTCGCTAGAATTTCAGGCATATGCCTATACCCAGCTCCATTCTCTTCTTTTTGAGTTTTGGCAAAAAGACAAAAAACTTTAGAATTAGGGTTGGGAGTGTAGTTCAGTGATACAGCACTTGCCTAGGATGCATGAGGTCTCAGGTCTGATTCCCCAGCACCACAGAGGGAAAAATGAAAAATAGAAACCTAGGAATATCCACATAGTAGCAACATGTATAAAGCAAAGGGCCTACATGATATACAGAATGGATGAGAACACTTTATATACAAATGGAGAATTTTTTAAAAGAATTTACAGATTTTTAAACTAGTAATAAGTATCTCTTGAAGATGCAAATGGACACACAGAATTGGTCACTACATGGAAAACAAGACATTTTTTGCTGCTCCCAAACCAAGCTGCAGTGATGATTCCTTTTATTAAAAAAAAAGAAAAAACTACTTGTACGTTTATAGTGAGAAATAAAGAGAAGAAAATTGAATAACAAAATGTGCCGCCACTTACCTTATGTCTGTAATGACAACAACATGTTCACAGTCTCCCTGGTGACAATATAAGTAAGGAAAACCCAGCTTAATATTCAGGTCATTGAAGGTAAAATCTTCCATTCTAGCTGTCTGAAACTTTCCATATCCTCTATCATGGGACTCTGACCACTCAATGATAGTTCTGAGGGAAGAAAAAAATGCCAGAATCTATCACTGCTCCACAGAAATTAGGAAAGGATTAGTGGCAGCTGAATTTCACATCAGCTGGCTCATCCAATTAACTGGACAGATGCCACCTTGACAGGAAGACCATATCAGTATATACATTCTGGAATCAGACACAATGAATTTTCTTCATCTGTTAGTATCAGTTCTCAAAAGTGTGGTCCCTGAGGTCAAAATCATACTAAGCCTTATCTCTCATCCTCTCACAACCACCAATTTATTGGAGGCTGGGTGATGCTTATCACTTCTGCTTGAAATGCAAAATACATAACAATGCTACTCTTCTCATTTTATTTTGGACAATGTATTTTTCACAAAAATGTAAATGTAACAAGATTAACTATCTTAAATATTTCTTAGTTTCACAATTTCTAATACAATAGATACAACTATAACCCATAAGTTCTTTGGGAACCTCAACTTTTTACCCCATCAAGGGGAGCTAAGACGAAGTTTGAGAACTGCTGCACTAGAATATATACTGAGGCCAAGTACAGTGGTACACATGTGTAATCTCAGTTACTAGGAAGGCTGAAGCAGACTACAAGTTTGAGGCTGGCCTCAGCAACTTAGTGAGACCGTCTCAAAATAAAAAGGGCTAAGAACACGTCTTAGTGGTACAGCACCCTGGGTTTGATCTCCAGTACCACAAAAATGTGGGAAGGGTGGGGGCTATAAAGCAAGCATTTATATTAACTGCTCAGAAAAAATACAAATGTAGGGTCTTACTATGAGAACACTGATAATGGAAGTATGGTCTAATTAAAATGGTATTAGAGGTGGGCTAGGGCTATGGGTCAGTGGTAGAGCACTCATCTTGCATGTGTGAGGCCCTGGGTTTAATCCTCAGCACCACACAAAGATGCATAAAATAAAGGTATTGTGTCCATCGACAACAAAAAATATATATATTTTAAAAAATAAATAAATAAAATGGTACTAGAGGTAAATTTTTATGTTAAATACCAAAACACCATTATATATTCATTCACCTAGGGCAAACAACAGTATCTTCTGAACAAGCAGAAGAAAGAGTTTAAACATAAAGACTGGAGACTAATAAAATCTTAGTCTTGGACCTAATTTTTTTTAGATATGTGTAATTTCAATATGAAATTTATAAAATTCCTTGGCAAAGATCCTTAATGGACTAATAATAGGATTTGTGGAGCTATCTGTTTTTAGAAGTAGAAAAAGGAAAGGACTTAGAGAAAATTTTTGTAAACTATACCTGCTCAAATCTCTGCACTCTGGGTATCTTTTATCATTGTAGAATGTTCCCTCAAAATAGAAGAAAGCTGATTTGTATAGGTCCTACAAGAAAACAAATGGTATTGAGAGAAAGCCTACTCTTAATTATGGAATTGATCTAAGTATGTAGAATTTATATAGCATAAGATAACATATATTAAAGCAACTTCTGGAAACTCAGGTCATACATTTGTCTAAAATTTAATGGTAACCTACTATGCAAAAATATTACATTAGTTTTCAAGGCTTTTTCAATTTTACCCTATTGCTAGAGGTGGTTTTTCTTTTTTCTTTTGGTACCAGGGACTGGAGGGGTACTGAAACATTAAGCTACATCCCCAGCCCTTTTTATTCTTGATTTTGAGACGCAGTCTTGCTACATTACTTAGGGCCTCACTAAGTTGTTAAGGCTGGCTTTGAACTTGCTATCTTCTTGCCTCCACCTCCAGAGTTGCTGAAATTTCTATTCTTAAAATAATCTTTCCTTGGGTACCATAGTAGTAGGCACAGTAGTGGGATCTGAACTTTTTACAGTTAACTTTCTTTTTTTTTTTTTTTTGTCAATCAGCAGTTTTATTTATTTAGTTTAGCATATGCTAGAATACATAACCTCATGCCATTTCTTATCATAAGTAGTCTTTTACATAATTAATTTGTGCCTAACATTTTATATAACAAAAGAAAAAATGAATCTGTAAATTATCAGAAAAGAGCATAGGTATAGGAAAATAATACATTTTTATATAAATTATAAAGGACAGTTACAATGGAAATCCACTAATTTCCTCTCTCAGTTTTATCAAATAAAGTCAACACACATTATTCTGTGAGCTGCTAAGAATGTACAAACACTGTGGCCCTTTCGAAAGAGAGTAGTCAAAGAGGGAACGTTATCTTGATATACCCTGTTCTCAGTTCTTAACTGGAGTTGAGCTTCCTTTCATAGTCTTCTTTAGGTGGTGATAATTTGGCAAGATTTTCATCAAGAAATCCAGTTGTAGAGTCTGGGGCTGTGGTCGCTCAGTTTGCACCCGACGAAGGCAGTCTGCACCATAGATCACTGTATTCTCAGGGATGACTTCAAAAGTATTTAGGTTGCAACAAGCCCCAATGATGCAACCACTTGTCAATATTACATTTCTGCCTACATATGCTTTTGATTCAATGACATTGTTATCCCCCATTTTCATGGCTTGGGAATAACAGCCAACTTCAAACACATTGTTGGTGCCAATGATCATAGGTTTGGGTTCTGGATCTTCAGTGTCAGGAGTGATATTATCTGGATGAGCATTTATGATGAGGGCCTGTTCTTCTATCAGGTTACCTTCACCAATCACTATTGGCCCAGCTTCAGCAATAATTCGTGCTTTGGGGTGAATCACCGTCCTTGGTCCTCTTTTGATTCTTCTCCGCCATTGTACGGGCCTGATCTACAGCTGGAGCTCTACAGTTAACTTTCAATCTATCAGACTTTCCATCAATCAATCTTCACTGCATAACAGAATCAGAAAAACATCAAAGACCAAGTCTCACCTCAGACTCATTAAATGAGCACCTCTAAATATGAGGCCCAGGTCATAAGTATTTCTCCAAACCTCTCTAGGAAAAATATGCAACCAGAGCTAAGAATCATTTTATTAGATTTGTCCTTTACCAATATGTAGAAACAGACCCCTGGCTGAGCATCAGAGAATCTGAATTATTTTCCTTAACCCACCACTTAGTAACTTACTATCTTTGTGATTCTAGGTACATAATAATCTTTCTTCAGACTTCAGTTTCTTCACCTATAAAGTGAGAATAATATTATTTCCTAGAGTATTTTACAAGGACTGCAGTGAGAATCAAAAGCAAGAATTTAAGTTTCAGATATTAAAATAATTTTAACCTAATCCTATAACTTCTTTTCTTTGTAGCTCTGATTTTTCCTTATTAATAATCTTTATTTCCCCATTTGTAAATCATCTTACATTGGCAACAGACACAACTGGTTGTGCTGTTTCACCTTGGATAGGTCACTAAATCTCACTGACCCTGTTTCCTCTAAAGTAAAAGCCATCACATTCTTCACAGGTTGTTGTGGAGATAAAAAGATATAATGTATTTAATACCATATTTGTCTGCTACAACAAAATCTATCACTTAGTATACTTGTAGAAATCTCAAAGTGGGGAAGCGAGGGTCGAAAAAGTTCTGACAGAATAACTTGTTTTATTTTGGAAGCAAAGTGTAATGAGGGTCCATTTCATGCTTTGAACATAACCCTTGCTGCTTTGCCACTGCAGCTTATTTTAAAACTGACATTTTCCCCCACTTCTTTTCTTCCCTTGCTCCCTCACTAACCCTGGTGGAAAGCAAGCTTAACCTTTTTCCTGTTCTAGGCCAAGTTATCTGTTCTTAAACACACACACACACACACACACACACACACACACACACACCACAGGAATAAAGTAATTCAGACTTCAGGAAGGTGCCAGAAAACTGAAGATATGGCTATCTTGAAAGTCTACAAATGAATCATGATCTCTGACAAGTCACAGCTGAAATGTAGCCTTTAAATCACCTCTAAAAGTCCTCTGGTTTCCCCTGAGAGTCAAAATCACAGTCTCTGAGACAGAAGTCCCTGTATTTGTCCTTTGTTAGCAACGCAATAACACTTTTTCCTTTTTCTCAAAACCTTGTTCTCATTATTGGATTGGCATTTGGGAAAAAGGATGGAGCTTCTGGTAATAAGTTTGGTGTATATAAAACTTTTGATCATTACAAAATACTTATAGAGAAGTAATTCTTATGTAATTTAAACAACTTAAAGCCTACCGACATAATTAATTACAAAGCACACACCTATAATCCCAGCTACACGAAAGGCTCTGGATCACAAATTCAAGGCTAGCCTATGCAAATTAGTGAGTACCTGTCTCAAAAAATTTTAAAAGGGCTGGGATAGCTCTTTGTTAAAGTGCTTACATAGCATGCATGAGGCCCTGAGGAAGGGGGGCTGGGGGACGTAAACACACAGGTTGTTGTTAATCTAGTGTAACCTAAGTTTGTAGTTACTGTTTTCATTTACAAATTAACTATCACTAGTATGGTCATCTGACATTTTTTTTTTTTTTTTAGAATTTTAATATTTGTTTTTTAATTTTTGGCAGACACAACATCTTTGTTTGTATGTAGTGCTGAGGATCGAACCCGGGCCGCACGCATGCCAGACGAGCGCGCTACCGCTTGAGCCACATTCCCCAGCCCAAGATAATTTCTTGTGTGTAATTTTAGGCTATTTACTAGTAATTTACTTGCTCAAAAACATTCAAATCAGCTACATTAGAATTTCAGAGATATTCTTGTAATCTGCTGTGAGGAAAATGATCTTGGAAAAGAAGTGCTGAAGAAGCACGGTTATAGATTTTTAAAAAAAAACATACTTTTTAATTGTAGATAAACACAATACCTTTATTTATTTATTTTTTATGTGGTGCTGAGGATCAAACCCAGTGCCTAACATGTGCTAGCCCAGCATTCTACTGGGCTTAGTGTCAAGACACTAAGCCACAATCTCCAGCCCTAGATTTTTTTTTTTAACTTGAGGGCTGGGGCTGTGGGTCAGTGGTAGTGCTCGCATAGCATGCGTGAGGCACTGGGTTTACTCCTCAGCACAACATAAAAACAAAATAATAAAGATATTGTGTCCACCTACAACTAAAAATAAATGTTTTTTTTTTTTTTTAAAGATTGATCGGGGCTGAGATTGTGGCTCAGTGGTAGAGCGCTTGCCTAGCACAGGCGGGACCTGGGTTCGAGCCTCAGCACCACATAAAAATAAAAGCCATTGTGTTGTGTCCATCTACACCTAAAAAAAAATATATTAAAAAAAAGATTGACTAATCTATGCAAAGTAGAAATGGTAAATAGATTAGACATTAAAACATTAGGAACCATTAAAAAAAATTTATTAAAAAACTTTTTTTTTTGGTACTGGGGAATCAAATGCAGTGCTGCTTTACCACTAAACTACATCTCCATCCCTTTTTATTTTGAGACAGTTGCCAGGTTGGCCTCAAATCTGTGATCCTACTGCCTCAAACCTCCAATGTTGCTGGGATTGTAGCTGTGTACCACTGTGCCTGGCTACTGGCAGTGATGTTTATTTTAAAAACCTACTCTATTCTTGAACTATTATGGACCAAAACTAAATAGCAAAGCACATTACATTTTAAGGCTTTAGAAGAGATTAATGACATTGACCAAACTCTCCCAGTCCTATCATATGAAATTTATTTTAAAATATTTATTGGCTAGGGGCTGAAGTTGTAGCTCAGTGGCAGAGCGCTTGCCTAGAGTATATGTGAGGCACTGGGTTCAATTCCTAACACCACATATAAATAAATAAATAAATAAAATAAAGGTCCATCAACAACTAAAAAAATGTAAAAAAAAAAAAATTTAGGGCTGGGGTTGTGGTTCAGTGGTAATGTGTGAGGAACTGGGTTCAATCCTCAGCACCACATTAAAAAGAAAAAGGTATTTTGTGTCCATCTACAACTAAGAATAAAAAATAAAAAAAATTTATTGGTTGGAATAAAAATTCTTATTTCCTCAGTCATAAAAGCTATAGCTTCCTAATTTGTTCCACCGTTGCCAATGAAATATATGCCAAATATATCCCTGTCCCTGACAGCATGAGAACTCCATTATTTTCAAAGTTTTTAGGTATTATGATACCATAGGGTGAATACATGAAATAATTTTGTCAAGACACCGAGAAATACTGAAGGTGGGTAATGGGTACATAAGAGTTCTTTATACTATTCTCTTTCTTGTTGGTTTGTTTGAAATTTTCCAACAAAAACCTTAAAAAAAAATTCCATAAAATACAAAGGCTCCAATCAACGAAATAAAAATCTTTCCAAGGCTAAAAGATAACATTAGCAAAATCTAATTTATATGCATTTGCCTTTCTAAAATATAGCTGAAGAACCAGAAGTAAACAAGATAGGTCTCTGAATAGATTCCAGGAAATCCATGCACTAGAAGCCTCTGAAGTATTTTATTCATCACTGCTTAAGATTTCACTCATGGATTAAGTAAACAAAAGAGGAGAGAAAGACATCTAAAACCAGGTACAATGCCAGCCACATAGCAAAGAAGAAAGAACATGGGCCTCTCAAGAGGAAATGACAGGGATCTGAATTCAGCCTCCATTGCTGCTTATTGAACTACGGCAACTCCTAACAGTATCTGAACTCTTCCTTACCTGTAAAATAGTGGTAGTTCTCATATACTTAGCTCAATAAAAGAAGGTATTATCTTACCAGATGGAAGAGGCAGAAACAATACTACAGTAGACGTGTAAATATTTTGAAATGGTACCATGCGTCATTTAGCCCCTGCTTAGAAAACAAGGCATTAGCATCAATGTACACACTATAAATTAACTAAACCTGATTGAAAACAATCTCCATGGTTTCATGGAGGTTAAAACTGATTCCCAAATCCGACTCAAACTACTCAGTGTATTGATGACAAGGTTGCAATGACAAGGGTGAATTCAGATTTTTCTTGTTAAATTGATTTTATCACTTTGTGTGGGGGAAGATTAAGAAACTTTGCAGAAGATTGCTGTTTGCTTCTCCTTTGAAGAAAAAATAAATCTCATATTTCCTGCTTTGTAGAGTCTTGAAATTCCTCTTATTTCTCATCATAATCATCTTCAAAAGCACTGAACCTGGCAGCTCTGAAGAATCTAATTATCTTTTTTTATAATTTTTTTAAAATTTATTTTTTAGTTGTAGTTGGACACAATACCTTTATTTTATTTATTTTATTTTTATGTGGTGCTGAGGATCGAACCCAGGGTCCTGCACGTGTGAGGCAAGTGCTCTACTGCTGAGCTACAACCCCACCCCAGAACCTAAATATCTTAAAAAATCATTTTCAACATAACTCAAAAATATTTTAAGTTTTTAATCTGTATGTAAGATATGATGATAGTCTCCATGTCAATCACTGAAAAGACTAGAAGACAGCCAGCCTGTGGGCCAGACAGACACACATCAAACAGCATCAGTATATTGTAATATGAGCATGGAATAAATCAAAAGGTGCTAGAGAGGCAAAGAGAAGACAGTCAAGAAAAACTGCATAGTAAGTGAATTTTGAGCTGGATTTGGAAATATGAGTATGAACTCACCAGATGCATGGAGGTGTTGAAATACCCAGAGGCATGACAAAGTATGGGATGCATTAGGAAGACACACAAATTCAGTGTGCTGAATGAAGCCCAAGATATAGAGATAGGAAGTATGAAAGGAGTTAATTTGGGAATCACTATTATAAAAGGCCTTATATGTCAAACTAAGAAGAGATAAAAATTGATGTAACTGGTGGAAAAGGAAACAGCAAACAGGAGATTGTGTTGGTTCTTGTCCAAACTCTATCTCCATCTTTACTGTTCTAAATCCCTCTTTACATTTCTACAGAAGAGATTCTTTCTCCTACAGTGGGTCAGTTAGGCCTGGGGTTGTAATAGGTAACAGAATTAATTCAGCTCTATGCTGAAACACAGAAGAATCTTGCTTAGATGAGCAATGAAAATTCTGAGGACAGCCAGCTTGTCAACTCTGCTCCTTTTAGAGGGGTATCCAAGGTTTCTCTGTCCTGTGGAGAACACCACAGGACAAACACTAGCAAGGACCAACTCCATCTATCATCTCCCTGATTGGTGTTAGTCACTGTACTAACAGGCCCTTTTACACTCCGAGAAATGTGAAGAAGGGGAGCAATTATTGAGGCTTTCAGGCAATTTTATGCTAAGGGTAGTTATGACAGATTAAAACTCCCAGAGTTTGAAACAAGAGGGAGTGAACAGCAAAGTCAAATGCAACAGTGAGGCTGGGTAGCTTAGCGGTAGACCACCTGCTGAGCATGCCCCAGCATCAAAAAAAAGCACTAATTGGTCAAATAACTGTGTGGTCAAGAGCAGGAGTGTTCTTAGAATAGATGAGAAATGAGGAAGTCAAGATAAGAATATCACTTCTGTGAAAAAGTTCTGATGATGTAGAGAAGGAAAGGCAGGTCAGCAGCTTGATGGAATCACACAGAAGGAAGCACTGACTAGAATACTGATGAACCTGCCAGAGTAACCACTATTTCCTTAGTTTACTGTTGGTTTTTTGTGGGGAGGAGCAGGAAATCACCTTACTTTGCTGATGTGCTCAGGAGCTTGGTCAGGAGTGTTGCTGAACTCTCCACCAATCTGGAGGTCACTGACACAGCAAATCGAATCCCTCAGTTCAGTAAGCTTTTGACTGCCCAGGACCTGCATCGTCTGGTATGGTTTGTGTTCTTTGTGCTAAAAGTCAAACAGTAAATAAGTAAATGTCCACTTATAGTAAAAGTATTTAAACCAGAAATCCTGTTATAAACAGACCTAAATGAAGTTACTGATTTTCTTAATCCTTGTAACTTGGTGTTCTGTTTTCTCAGACTGTGAATTTGTCTGAAAACTTCCATGAATTATATCACCAAACTAATGGTAAAAGTTGTTTACAACTCCCCTGTGGCCCACAGCCCATATTCTAAAACCACCTCCTTTGTCTAACCCTCAAACCCAGCCAGTATTTCCCTGGTGCTCTGTCAGCTTAAATTAACCAGGGTCAGGCAGCTGATGACAAGGGCCAGCCTTATGTCCCCAACTCACTGCAATTACTGAAACCACAGAGTCCTAAATATTTTCCCTGCCCTACTTGGCTGCTGCTGTAGAAACTCCTGCAGGTTGTGCTCTAGGTCTCCCCTCTCCTTACTGCCCTCTGTAGCCCTGTGTGGTGCGCCCTCTCTTAGGAAATTTAAGTAATAAACATCTTTCTATGGCTTTAATCTCTTTCTCAATCACCTCCACAAATTAAAATCCCATGAGTACAATTGAAATACCTGGCCACAGAATTCTTCTAGTTTAAGTGTATGATCAAGATGCCACTAAACTGATCCAAGGATTAAGAGCCTACAGAATGTAACTTTATCTGCCACATCTATCAGCTTCGTCTTTGAAATTTTCCTACAGGTTGTATCACTGAAGTCAAGCACTCAGGTTATAAATCCAAAAGTTTCATTTTTTTAAATGGTAATTAGAGATACTAATCAAACAAGGTAATTAGTATTAAGTACACTGCAGACACTTCATAAAAGCCTGTTTATTTATAAGTACAATCTATGCATAGCAATATTTCTCTCTCTCTCTCTCTTTTGTTTTTTTTTTTTTTGGTACAGGTGATTGAACCCAGGTCACTTGATCACTAAACTAAATGCCCAGTCCTTTTGATTTTGAGATAGGATCTCACTAAGTTGCTGAAACTGGCCTTTAACCTGTGATACTCCTGCACTGGCCTCTCAAGTCACTATGACTACAGGCACGAGCCATCATGGACAGCTGAACGGTAATATTTCAATCAGAGCGTAGGACACATTTGAGGAATCAAGAATATGTACTCATGCCAGATATAACATACCTGTATGTAATATCAGCTACTTAGAGATTGAGGTAGTAAGATCACAAGTTCAAGACCTGCCTGGGCAACTTAGCAAGACCCTGCCTCAAAATAAAAAGGGCTGAGATGACACTGAGTGGTAGAGCACCATTTCATTCCCCAGTACCAAAAAAAGAGAAGAAAAAAAAATAATTCACTGAGGCCAGGCACCGTGGTGGCACATGCCTCTAATCCCAGAGGCTTGGGCTGGAACAGGAGGATGGCAAGTTCAAAGCCAGCCTCAGCAACGATGAGGTGCTAGTCAACTCAGTGACACCCTGTCTCTAAATAAAATACAAAATAGGGCTGGGGATGTGGCATAGTGGTTGAGTGCCTCTGAGTTCAATCCTCGTTAGCAGGAAAAAGGGGGAAAAAAAAAAGGAAAATAAAATTAACTGAGTAGGTACATATATATATAATGGAATATTACTCAGCCATAAAGAATAATGAAATTATGACACTTGCCAGTAAATGAATGGATTGTAGACTATCATGCTAAGTGAAATGAACCAATCTTGCCAATCCTAAAAAACCAAAGGTCAGGGCTGGGGATGTGGCTCAAGCGGCAGTGCGCTCGCCTGGCATGCATGGGGCACTGGGTTCCATCCTCAGCACCACATACAAATAAAATAAAGATGTTGTGTCCACCGAAAAACTAAAAAATAAATATTAAAAAAAAACAAAGGCAAAAATGTTTTGATATGTGGATGCTAACACACAAGGTGGGGTGGGGTGGGTAGGGAAGAACAGAAGTACTTTGGATTAGACAAAGGGAATGAAGGGAAGGGAGGGGTGGTGGGAACAGAATGAACTGGACATTACTTTCCTATGTTCATATATGAATACTCGACCCATGTAACTCCACATTATGTACAACCGCAAGGAAAGTTGTACTGCATGTATTTATAATACGTCAAAATACAATCTACTGTCATGGATAGCTAAAAAGAACAAATAAAAAACAAACAAAAGAATTGAATTAAGAACCACTGTGGGGGCTGGGGATGTGGCTCAAGCGGTAACACGCTCGCCTGGCATGCGTGTGGCCCGGGTTCGATCCTCAGCACCATATACAAACAAAGATGTTGTGTCTGCCAAAAACTAAAAAAAAATAAAAAATAAATACTAAAAAATTCTCTCTCTCTCTCTCTCTCTTTAAAAAAAAAAACACTGTGGATTTATATATACTTTCAGTTGCTTCTAGTAAAGAGATCAGGTATGCATTCCAATCCTATAATTATAATCAAGAGATTGTTTGAAATTTGACCTTATTTCTATTATTCCTCATTAAAACAACAACAACAAAAAGCCAAGAATATGGATTGTCAGCTCTAAAAATAATATGCCCGAGAGACAGCATATGCTTATGTTTATTTTGAAGCCTAAGGAATATGACTCTGAATAACTAAACCCTTTGTGAAAAGTTACCTGTAGAGAGGCTGGGGGTATATAGTTCAGTGGCAGAGCACATGCCTATTGTGTGCAAAGCCTTGGGTTCAGTAAGCACAATAATCCAAAACAATTTCCATGAAATTCAAAAGGTTTTACTACTGACCTTATGAAATATAACAGGATACAAGATATTCACAGACAGGATAAGCTCTCCTTCCTCAATCATGTCGGCTGAATTTTCAGGTTTTTTCCCCATAGCATGTGACTCCTGAAGAAAAAAAAATGGAGACCTTGAAGTCAGATACTATAACTCAGATAAGAGGTAGTATGGTACAATGTTTAGTAGCAAAGGCTTGAGTCAAACAGCTCAAAGTTTTAATCTCATCTATGAAAAAACAGAAAATATTTATTTTGTAGAACTGTTGCTGGCAATGTGACATAAATCACCCAAGAAGGGGTAGGGATGTAGATCATTGGTAAAGACCCTGGGTTTGATCCTCAGATCTCACACACACACACACACACACACACACACACACACACACACACAGGCAGGATTGAACTGGAATCCCTAAGGTAGCCACTAGAAAATACCTAAAATATATACAGAAAAGCAGAGAATCAAAATGGCACACCACAAAAATTCTATACATAACATGAAAGTACATAAGACATACAAATAGTTAACTGGCAGAAGTAAAGTGTTCCTTGTTAGTAATTAATTCAAATACAATGGATTAAACTTTCCTATTAGAGAGGCACATTGGTAAAATGGATTTAAAAGCCTTGATGGGGGTGGAGTGGTGCACGCCTATAATCCCAACAGCTCAAGGCTGAGGCAGGAGGATTGAAAGTTCAAAGCATCAGCCTCAGCAATTTGGAAAGACCTTGTCTCTAAACGAAAAATAAAAAGAGCTGGGGATTCGGCTCAGTGGTTAAGTGCCCCTACGTGTGATCTCTGGTACAAAAAAGAAAAACCTTGCTTCTCTCTCTGTTGTCTTAAAGACACTCACTTTAGAAACAGATCAGAAAGTTCAAAAAAAGTATATCCCATGTAAATAATAAACAGAAGACAGTTGTTGCTGGAGACATATACATATATATATATATATATATATATATATATCATACACACACACACACATATTTTTTGGTCAGACAAAACAAATTTCAAGCCAAAAAGATTATAAGAGACAAAGAAGAGCATTATATATTAATAAAGGTACCATCCAGCTAAGCACAATGGTACACCTATAATCCCAGTGACTTAGGCGGCTGAAGCAAGAGGATCACAAGCTTGAGACTAGCCTAAGCAACTAAGTAAGACTGTGTCTCTGGGGAAAAAAAAAAAAAAATTGAAGAAACAGTTCTACAATAATGGTTAGAAATTTCAATACTTCACTTAGAATTACAAGACAGAAGATTAATAAAAAGTAGAAGAACTGAACACTTTAAACAATTTGACCAAATAAGACATATACAGAACTCTTCATTCAACAATAGCAGAGATTAAAAAGGAAATAATACAGAGTGGAGATAAATGAAACAGAAAATAGAAAAATGATATAGAAAAAAATCAACAAAAATAAGCTGATTTCTTTGAAAAAACATCAAAACTCTTACTGACTGATTAAAAAGAAAGAAAGAAGCCTCAAACTATCAAAATCATTACTACTGATTTCACAGAAAAAGGCTTTTTTTTCCCCCTTGGCAGTACTGGGACTGAACCCAGAGTACCCTACCACTGAGTTGCCCCTCAGTCCTTTTAATTTTTATTTTATGACAAGGTGTCACCAAATTCCTTGAGATTCTCTTGCCTTAGCCTCTTGAGTGTCTGGTATTATTGATGTGCACCACCATGCCTTGCAGAAAAAGAAGGATATAAAAGAAAAGTTTCAACTCTCGGGTTTGGCGCTGGGGCTCAGTGGTAGAGCGCTTGCCTGGCATGTGTGAGGCACTGGGTTTGATCCTCAGCACCACATATAAATAAATAAACAAAATAAAGGCATGCTGTCCATCTACAACTACAAAAGGAAAGTCCAGGACCAGAAAACATGACTATGTGAATTCTACAAAATATTTAAGGAAGAATTAATAACAAATGTTTCTCAGGCTCTGCAGAAGAAATCTGAAAAGAACTGAACTCCTCCTAACTCATTCTATGGGCCCAGAATTACCCTGACACCACAACCAAAGATCCCACAAAAAAAGAAAACTACAGGCCGACATTCCTTATGAATATGAATGCAAAAATCCTCAACAGAATACTAGACACAATTCAGCAGTATATTTAAAGGATTATACACTACAATCAAGTGGGATTTGTTCTTAGGATGTAAGATAACATAGCAAATCACTCAATATAACACACCACACTCACAGAGTAACAAGGAAAAAAGCATATCACCTCAACTGATGTACAAAAAGTCTTTTACAAAACATGACATTGCCTTGTTTTTAGTTTGGTCTTTTTCTCTCAAATGCTGTATCAGCTAGGAATCAACACAATACAAAAGGTCATATACATCATATTCAATGGTGAAAGACAAAACCTTCCTCCTAACATCAGCAACAAGACAAATGTGCACTCTTCCTACTTGTACACAACACAGTACTGGAAGCTTTAGCCAGAGGAATGGGGAAAGCAGTGAGAAAGATAGGAAGAAAGATGACCAAACTGGAAAAGAAAAAATAGTTATATCTCTGTTTGCAGATGACAGATGACACAGTCTTGTACAAAACCCTGAAGAATACACACACACACACACACCCAAAACCAATCAAAACACAGCTAATAAACAAATTCATCAAAGAAGCTGGATACAAAATCAACACCCCTTTAAGACATTATACTAAATAAGCCATATAGAAAAGGACAAATATTATATGACTCCACTTATCTGAGGTACCTAGAATAGGCAAATTCATAGAAATTTAAAGGAGAAGAGTGGTCACCTGGGACTATGAGAGGGAGACTTGTGAGTTATTGCTTAATGGGTATAAGAATTACGTCTGGGATGATGAAAAAGTTCTGAAAACAATGGTGATGACTACATACTTTTATGAAATGTACTTAATGTTATTTTATTGAACACTTAAAAGTGGTTAAAACAATAATTTTTATGTTATGTTAAATTCTACCATAATTTAAAAAAATAAAGAGGGAGAAACAATTCCTGCCCTTCTGCACTATCAAGTGGCCAGCACAGAGTCTGGCACATGGCAGGTGCTGAGCTCAGTGTGTCTAGTAGCTTCTAATTCCTCAATATTCATCTTCTTAAATTTTTCTTAGGGTTTTATACATGACATAATGAATTAAGAATGTGGTTAAAGTAAAAATCAGAAACAGAACAAAAAGGGTAGGAACAGGATGGTAAAAAGGACACAAATATAGCATTCGTGAGAATAAGACCAAACCAAAAGCAGAGATAAAGGGAGCCATCTGAGTCAAGTATGTGCTTAACTGAGTTCTTTTGAGTCCTTTTCTCTAACGAGTTCTTAGTCTCAATGGAGTGTGTTTTGCAACTAAGCACATCTAATACAAAGCTACCATATAGTCATTACTAATAGCATCCAATGAGTGAGTTGAGTGTTTCTTGGGAAACACCGGTAAAAAAGATGAGAGTCTTACCATCTCATAAGCAAATATTTCTTGTCTGCAAACACGATCTATCGTTATGGTTTCTTCCCGATGTTCCAGGAACCTCTTTCTAACCCTGTTGTAGATACACAAAAAAATCAAAGTTTAACATTCTTTTCTGGGACTTTAAAAAAATAAAAATCTTTTTAAGCTTCTTATTGTAGACTAGTTTAAGACAAAGAAAAGTTGCAAAAACAGTACAAAGAGTTCCTTTATATCTCTTGCCCAGCTTCCCCTAAGTTAACACCCTATATGATTAGACAAGGATCAAGAATAGGACAATGACATTAATGTAACATTATTAACTACAGACCTTTTCCAACCTTCACACAATTTAATTCAATGCCTCTCCATTGCCCATTCCAGATTCCTACTCAGGATCCCACAGGCATCACTTATTTTTCCTTCCTCCCCTTGAGTCTGTCCTGAGACAGGAAGGAAATATACATATGTATGCTAACTCATGCCTGCACAAGGAACTGTATTTCTATAATATATTTAAAATCAAGAGCTGGGTGTGGTAGTGTACACCTGTAATTCCAGCTAGTCTGAAAGCTGAGATAGGAGAATCACGAGTTCAAGGTCAGCCAGGGCAACTTAGCAAGTTCCCATCTCAAAATTAAAAAAAATAAGCCAGGTGTGTGGCACATACTTATAATCCCAGCAACTAAGGAGGCTGAGGCACAAGAATCACAAGTTCAAGGCCAGCTTCAGCAACTTAACGAAACTGTCTCAGAATAAAAAACTGAAAAGAGCTAGGGAGACAGTTCAGTGATAAAAGTGACCCTGGGTTCAAACCCCAGTACCAAAAAATAAATAAAAATTTAAAGGATCAAGAATGTAACTCAACAGTAGAGCACTCCAGGGCCTAATCGCCAGTTTGGGGTATAAATGAGGGAGTTCAAACTAAAACCACAGGATTCATTGTAGCCTTCTTTGTTTTTAACTTCTTTTTCCTCAAGAGAGAAACCCAGCTCTCATGATTGGCAATCTACTTATTAGTTTAATTCTAGTAAAAATAAATCCCATGAATCCTATAAGAAATACTAACTCATGAACAGTTCTTTTTGTCCTCGGTCTTACATCAGTACGGAGATTTCCTTATGTAGTAGACTTAAGTTAATTCCTTCTTTCCCCTCCTCTTCAGTGTTGGTACATTATTCATTTGGAATAGAGTTAGGTTCGTTTGTTAGACTTTTTTATTCTATTTTGGGGCCCCCCTTGTACATCCTGGTTGGTTTTGTCTGATTACTTTTGGGGTATGCGAGATGTAAAACTACTATGGCACCAAAGAGTCAGAGGTGTCAAGCCTTCTTTGTCCTTAGTAACCTGATCCCATTTTCTTTCTTCTTTTTGCCCCTTTCCCACCTGCCTCCTACAGGAAATCAATCTCTATACTTCTGGTTTATCCTTTCCATTTCTTTTGTTCAAATACCTGTGTTTTTAAATTTTAGCTTCTTCTATATCATTCTGAGTTTAATTAGGAGGAAAAAACCAAACAGTAATTTGAACAGAGAAAGCTTAATCTAAGAATTATTAAGTTTAACCAAAGACTGGAATAAAGAGGGATTTGCAAGGAAGCAAAGGGAATTGTAGACAAAAGGAACACCCTACTCCTAGCGCTGGGTAAGAAGGCCCAAGAAGTCTTTTTCTCCTCTAAGGACTAAGATCCAGAACTAGTGCAGGAGACCTGGCTACGACTCAACGAATGGCAAAAAAAAAAAAAAAAAAAAGTTGCCGCAGTGCTATATCAGTGGAACTTGCTGGAAATCCACCTTTAATGGTGCCAAAAAAAAAAACTGTTTAAGGAAGTGGGTGGCAGGGAAAAACTGCAGTGCACTGCAGGGGCTGGGCACTGGGGAAGCTATGTGCACTGTGGGATCATGCTGAGCCAGCACATCAGATCCCTCAAGTGCCCCAAGGTCTCTTCATTGCCCTTTTTCACTGGAACAGCTGAACAACGCGCGCCAGTTCCCAAAGGAAAAATATTAAAGGGTCATGGTCTATTTTTACAGAACAGGTAATAAAAATGTAAATTTACAGATGAGAACCAGTGAATTATACCCCGCACATCATTTTGCATGAAGGGTGGCATCTGCTTTGGGTTTTGCTTTCTTCACTTACTATAAATCCTCTCTGGAAATCATTCTCTGGGTTCATCCTTCTCCATCATTTATTATAGCTGCAAAATATTCCACTGTGTGGATCTCCCAGTGTGTTCGATACTCTTTTATGTATGTGGAGATATGTTATTTCAAATATTTCGCAACTGCAAACAATACAATAACCTTATACACATTTACTTCCTTATTGCTGGAGGGATATCGTCAGTATAGATTGCTATAGGTGGGACTGCTGAATCAAAAAGGGAAGTGCACATAGGTTGGATCGATTTGCATTCTCATCAGCAATGTTTGAAAACACCTGTTTCCCACAGCCTTATCAAAATAATGCATATTTTAAAATTTACGGTCACTGATAGGCTAGTAAAGGCAACTCAATGCAGTTTTAATTTTCACTTCTCTAATGAGTATGGTAGATAGAAAATTTAAAAATGTTTGTCAATTTTATTTTTAAACTTGTTGTGCAGGAAATCAAACCCAGGACCTTGTACATGCCAAGCAAGTGCTCTACCACTAAGCTACATTCTCAGACCCTACTTTTATCTGTGTGTGTGTGTGTATGAATTATTAGTTTTTCCCACATATTAGGAATACTACCATTTTTTGGGTGTGTTTATGGTGCTGGGGATTGAACCCAGGGCCTTGTGCATGCGAGGCAAGCACTCTCCCAACTGAGCTATAACCCCAGCCCACGAATATTAGCTTTTTATGGTGCATATTATAAATATCTTTTTCTAAGCTTGACAGCTGTTCTGGACTTCATGAACTTTTGTTTTTTGCCATGAAAAGATTTTTAATTTTAGGTAGTCAATTTTATCAATTAAAAAAAGTTCCTCAGGAGCTGGGGTTGTAGCTCAGTGGTAGAACAAACACTTGCCTAGCATGTATGAGGTACTCGGTTTGATTCTCAGCACCACATATAAATACATAAATAAATAAATAAAATAAAGGTCCATCAACAATTAAAAAAAAATTTTAAATAGATAAAATAAACATTTAAAAAAATTCCTCTGAATTTCAATCAGTTTTATTCCACTAAGGTTTGTATGTTTCGGACTCTACATATATTTTGATCTCTAATCTGTTTGGAGTATGTTCTTGGGAAGAGTGTCATACTTAACTTTCTTATGTATTTTACTAACTCGGGACTTTATTCTGCTTTGTTGAACTATTTGTCTATTCATGAGCCAATTCCCATTGCTGTAATTAAAAAAGTCTTAAGTGTATTTTATTATCTAATAAAACCACTACTCTTTATAATTTCCCTTCTACCCCAAATTTTCTTAGGTCTTCTTCCATGTTTTCCATATGAACTTTATTATCAACTTGTCTAACTCCAAAAAATAATTTTTATTATTAACAATACTTTTATCAGGACTACATTAAGTTTATAAATTTTAACTCAGAGAAAGAAATGACTCATTGTGTTTAGTCTTCCTATCCAAGAACAGGGAGTATCTTTCATTTATTCAAGTGTTCTGAGTCTTTCGGCAATGTCTTAAAATTTTCCTCACATAATTTTTATATACTTCTTGTTAAATATATTTGTAAGTATTTGACTTTTTGCAATTGCAAATGACATTTTCTCTACTATTATGTTCTCTAACTGCATTTTTTCCAATATATGAAGGCTATTTTGTCCTTTTCTTTTTTATCTTTTTTTGCAATACTAGGGATTGAACCCAGGCCCTTACACACACTGAGCAAATGCTCTATCACTCAACTACATCCCCTTTATTTATTGAGACAGGGTCTCACTAAGTTGCCCAGGCTGGCCTTCAGCTTATGATTCTCCTGCCTTAGCCTCCCAAGGAGCTGGAATATCAGAAATGAAACACTGTACCTAGCAAGGCTATTGATTTATATATATATCAATTTTGTATTCTTCTCTTTCACTAAATTTCTTAATTTAGTTTTAGCATTAATTTCTTTGGGATTTTCCAGGTACACTTGTATCATCTACAGATGGAGTTTTTACTTCTTTTTTTTAAAAAAAAATATTTATCTTTTAGAAATAATTGGACATAATACCTCAATTTTGTTTATTTATTTTTTTATGTGGTGCTGAGGATCGAACCCCAGGGCTTGCACGTGCTAGACAAGTGCTCAACCACTGAGCCACAATCCCAGCCCCTGGTTTTTACTTCTTTACCTACTCTTATATCTCTAATTGATTTTTCCAGTAAACTGCAATGGCTAATACCTGCAGGAAAATGTTGCAAAGTAGTGGCAATAGTGGGCATGCTTGCCTTGTTACAGATCTCAGTTGAAATTCCCAGATTACTTCTCTATTGAATAAGACACATGGTTTACAACTAAGTTACATGTATTTCACCATGTCAGAACAGCATCCTTCCGATTTCTATTTCCTTGAATGTTTTATAAGGAATAGTGTTAAATGTTTTTAAGCCTCTCAGCATCTCTGGAAACAAGTGATTTGCTCTTTAGACTTCATATTAAACCAACTTCCATTCCTGAAATAAATCCCACTTGGAAATGGCATAGAGTCTTCTTAATATAGTATTGGATTACCTGATATTTTGTGTTGAATAACACTGGTATCAAGTTTTCTTTCACTGTACTGTCCCCATCTAGTTTAAGCATCAGTGCCATGTCTGCTTCATAAAAATAATTAAGCTTTTCTTGAGCTGGGTGCAGTGGTACACACCTGTTATCTCAACTATTAGGGAAGCTGAGGCAAGATCCCAAATTCAAGGTAGGCTTAGGCAACTTAGCAAGACCTTGCATCAAAAAATAGCCAAATAAATAGACAGGCTGGAAATATAGTTAAAAGGTAGAGTACTTGCCTAGCATGCATATAACCCTGGGTTCAACCCTTAATACCATCAAAAAGATAAAAATGTCTTTCTTCAAGGCTTTGGAGCATTCGGACTGGTCTCTGATATACTTTTGTTCAACTCTTTTATTTTTAGCCTCTTTGAGTCAGGATTTT